GCTCACTGCAACCTCCACCACCCAGGTTCAAGCGATTCTCCCACCTCAGCCTCCCAAGTAGCTGGGATTACAGGCACGTACCACCATGCCTGGCTAATTTTTGTATTTTTAGTAGAGACAGGGGGTTTCACCATGTTGGCTGGGCTGGTCTCGAACTCCTGGCCTCAAGTGATCTGCCTGCCTCAGGCTCCCAAAGTGCTGGGATTACAGGCGTGAGCCACCGTGCCCAGCCTGCCTTGGAGTATTTGAATGTGGGGAAGTTCAAAGGATTGAATGACAGAGACTTGTTGAATGTTATAGTAGTAATAATAGTGATGATGGTTGACTCAAGAAAAGGTGAGAGTGCAGTTTCCCTGCTCTCTTCGTTGTTCCTCTGTGTTTCCTGCTTACTGCTTCCTCCAGCCTATGAGTGCACCCTCCCCTACAGTGGTTTGCCTGACCTCTCTTGAAGCAGGTTGCTTTTCTAGCTCATGGGTAAATATTGACCTATTTGGGTTTCAAATGCCTGCCCCTCGAAACTCATGCAGGGCTAGAAAAACATGCTGGGAGAACATCTCTTGAGAATAAGAGTTGCTTTTGGTTAGGCTGTATCGTAATTGGCCCACTCACTGAGTCCTTGCTTGCAATGGTCAGCACTGTGCTGGCCTCCTGGTGGGATGGTGGTGGACAAAGGCAGGGCACTGCTCCCTGCCCTCCCTCTGGGAGTTTGTGGTCCAGCTGGGGAGATAGGACTCATACACTGGGAATTCTTGGAGGCTGTGTACCTAGCAGCTGCAAGGAACCTAAAGGAGGATTCTTGCCTGAGTAGGAGGTGGCCCTCTGTGACCACCAGATCTCTTCTAACACTTAAGTTTTCTGGTTTTAAGTGGAATTCAGTCAAGTGCCAAAATGTCTGTTGTAGACAATGGGTAACGTGGGCTGGCAGAAAACGAAGCTTGCCCTTCTTGTAAGGAGGGGAAGGGAACAGGGATGGGCTGTGGGGAACTAGGCTAAGAGGAAGGAATTTCTGTGGTTTGCTAATCCACTGGTATTCATCTCCCTGAAATGTCCCTGCTCCTAGGCTTCTGGCTTATACTAGGGCCTCCTGCTTGGGGTCTCTGTTACGTGCACCCAAAGCCCAGTGCCTTTGTTGCACATGACCCAGATTTTCTCTCTCCCCTGTCGTTTCAACCTTCCCCAGCTTGGATCCAAGACCTCCCTTCCCAGTCCTCTGAAATGAGCTGGGAAGGGAGGCAAAGCTGCCGCTCAAGCTGGGAAATCTAAGAGTTGGTCTCATCTCTGTAAGTTGGACCCCAGTGAGGACCCCAGCTGACTGGAAGGCTGGAGGCCAGGGGCTGGTACCACTGACGTTCCCAGGCAGAGAGGGAAGTTGGGGCAGTGATACAGGGAGCAGGATCAGGCCAGGAGGCAGAACTGGCCTGACCAGTCAGAGGCCCAAGGAGGGAGATTTGAGCTTCTCAGTTTGGGGCGAGAGGGGTTAGGCAAAGACTATGATGTGTGCTGCTTCAAAATTACCTTTCTAGCCTGTAGGGTAGGTCTCCTCCCTGTGTGTTCCAGCCAGATAGCTTGGTTACCTATTCTTTGCTGCCTTCTTAGGCCAGTGGGAAACCTTAGGGCAGCTGTGCATTATTGGGTAGAGGCCATTCTGGAGCAGGTGAGAAAAGAATCGGCTTTGTGGGAGGGTGGGGTCCTGGGAAGATCCCACCTTGGGACAGCTTAGAGGAAGCTGAGGTGCTGGAAGCCAGGGCCGACCTAGGTCCTAGGTCACCCTGCCTTGATGTGCAAGGGGAGGAGCCTGTGAGACCTAAGGTATGCTGCACTCACCCCGAAGGCCAGCCCTTCACTCCATACACATCACACCCTTACACGAAGGATGCTGTTACTCTTATGCTGTACCCACCTACAGGGGGAGAAGGAGGCTTCTAGATCTCAGGGGCAGATGAGGGTCAGGTGGGGGCCTCATGCATCCCTGACCTCGGGCTTGGTGCCCAGGCAGGAAAAGAGTTGGAGCGGTGCCAGCGGCAGGCGAACGAGGTGACGGAAATTATGCTTAACAACTTCGACAAGGTCCTGGAACGTGATGGGAAGCTGGCCGAACTGGAGCAGCGTTCAGAGCAACTCCTGGATATGGTGTGAGGCCTGGGGGAGCATGGAGGGGAGGGGAGAGGATTGGGAAAGGCTCTTTTGGGCTGTATTCAGGATCTCCAGGTCATTGGTGGGGTTGAGGCCTTACTCAGGGCCAGTGTGGGGCCTCTGGGTTTCCTCAGGCACCCATAGCCTAGACATGCAACAGATAGACCCCACAAAATAAGGCGGCCTTGGTTTGAAGCTGTGGACCTTCCTAAAGGTAGAAGACTGTCGTTGTTTTTTGTTTCTTTTTTACTTTGAGACAGGGTTTCACTCTGTTGCCCAGGCTAGTACAGTGACTCAATCACATCTGCTGCAGCCTCTACCTCCCAGGCTCAAGCGATCCTCCTGCCTCAGCCTCCTGAGGAGCTAGGACTATAAGCATGCACCGCCGTGCCTGGCTGATTTTTGATTTTTTGTAGAGATGAGGTCTCCCCATGTTGCTCAGGCTGGTCTTGAAGTCCTAGATCCAAGAGATCCTCCCACCTCGGCTTCCCAAAGTGCTGGGATTACAGGCATGAACCACTGTGTCCAGCCTGAGTACTGGCATTGTTAACAGAGGGTGAGACACTAGGGCTGAAAGTCAAGGGGCCACACTGGTGTTTGAGATGAGTCAGGTGGGGAGGGTTCCACGGCAGGTGGTATAGAAAGAGAGCAGACAAGGCCGGGCACGGTGGCTCATGCCTGTAATCCCAGCACTTTGGGAGGCCGAGGCGGGTGGATCACGAGGTCAGGATTCAGACGCAGCCTTGCCCACACATGAGGTGAACCAATGTCTCAAGCTAAAAATACAAAAATTAGCGGGTGCAGTGGTAATCGCTGCCTCGTAGCCCAGCTTACTAGGGAAGGCCTGACAACCAGAGAAATTTCTTGCGAAATTCTCCCTGTGAGCTCAGATTGTGCCCACTGTAACTCCCAGCCCTGGGCGTGAGCAGGAGGAGACTCCATCCCTCAAAAACAAAAAACAAGAAAGAAAGAGAAAGAACAAAAAACAGAAAGAAAGCAACACCGATGCGGGACAAGCGAATGGGCAGGAGGAAACAAGCCCTTAACACTGAAGATGGGAACCCTGCGAGGAGCTGGCTTCCCAGGCAAAAGGTGGGTGCCAGCTAACTCTCACTTTGTGCCTGGGGGCTATCCGCAGAGGGCTGCTAACCCGCTTCAGCAAGACTACAATCGACCCTGGGCCCCAGAGAGGCCCGCTGGGAGAACATCCGTAGGCCCGGGCTCCTGCTTGGGGCTGGTGGTGGTCGGCTGGCCTGCTCATGCATCCTGATTGTGCTGCTGGCCCGTAACTTTCCTCGCCTTCAGCGAGCAGTGATATAACAGAAAAAACAGCAGTACTGGCCCGGACGCCAGGATGCAGGCAGCTGCCTCCAAGGCCTCGGGGACTGACCCCGCTGGTCCTGAGCCCCCAGTCACACACGCGGCTGCACTGCGGCCGGTTCTGGTCCCTCCAGAGGACCTTGGTGTTTGCTCTCCGCTTCTGACCCACCCCCACAGTGAGTGCCGAAAGGGCGAGCCCCAAAACAGTGTGCACCCCCTGGCATTTCCCTGTCATCGGGCCACAGACCTGGGCCCTCCAGGGGCAGGCTGCCTGTACTGGCCATGCTGGCAGCCCTAAACCCTGGAGCTCAGTACAGAGCTGGGCTGTTTATTAAGAAAGCTGGATCTGTGTGCTGAGAGGTCCGCCAGTTTGGTTAATCCCATCCTGTCTCTTACCCTTGGGCTCGCTTAGAAACGGCCATCACGCGGCAAGGACTCCCACGCCCCCTGGAGATGGCTCCCTTCGCTCCTCCCCTTCCCTACTGATCCAACCCTACACAGACCGGCGAAGTGTGGGTGGGCGAAATACAACGCGCAACAGACCCTTCGACAGTTTTCCATCTGCGGCCTGTTTCTTGCGCTGACACACTCTGTTATTTTTCCTGTCATCTTAACTCTCATTAATTTTTCTGTCATTGGGGCCATTTGCGCGATGCTGTGACTGGGATGAAGGCATAACAAACACCCCCCAACCCCCGCCCCCCCACACCCCACGCACCAGTTCCCTTTTTTTTTTTTTGAGACCTGGGAGTTTTGTCTGTTCCCGCCACAGGGCTGGAGCTGCAATGGACGATCTCAAGCTCACTGCGGGGCAACCTCCTACCCTCCGTGGGTTCCATTACCTCCTGGGTTCTCCTGCCTCAGCCTCGCTAAGCGAGCTGGGATTCACAGGCCCGCCACCGCCAACTGCCCAGCTAATTTTTTTTCATTTTATTTTTGTATTCTTTAGTAGCGAGTGGCTTTCGTCGCTGCCCAGGATGGTCTCGATCTCCTGATCTCGTGATCCGCCCGTCTCAGCCTCCCAAAGTGCTGGGATTACAGGCTTGAGCCACCAAGCCCGGCCAAGAGTGCAGTGGTTCTTAAACCTGCTTCACCTGCAGAATTTATACAAGTGCCATTGCCCAGGCCCCACCACAGATCAGTTAAATCAGATTCTTGGAAGGTATCGTACACGGGTGTTTCTAAAGCTCCTCCTCGCCCATTCTCTCCTCTGAGAATTCATATGTAGCCAGGAATGAAAAGGTCTTAGTACAAGCCACTAGTTTTATAGAAGCTAGGGATAGCAATGGGCTGAAGGTAACAGTCCCATGAGCTGGTTGAGGCCCCAGGTTCTCTGGCAGAGAGACCTCTCTCTCTCGGTTGGGGAGGCTTGCCCCACCCTTTATTATTATGCCTAACACATAAGAAATGTGCAGGAATTTTTTTTTTTGGGGGTTTGGGGGGAATCAAACGCAAACTCTTGAACCAACTAGAGCGCCGCGGGGCAGAAGTGTCCGGCGGAGATCTGGACAGCGCATCGGGAAGCGCCATGGCCCAACGCTCGCAGGAACCTGAACTCCTGGGCCAGCGCCGCCTTTTCTCGCAGAGGCCTTTAGCATCTGCACAGTCGAAGCCCTCTGAGCCTCAGGGCAGATTGAGGACCCTAACAGACCAGACATTTGGACGCGACCGCGCCAGAAATTCCAGGGAATTCAGTGTTGGCTCCGATTCCAAAACAAAAGTTTCCTCACCAGCCGGATCTCCGTCATTGGCGTTGGTCTCTGGTCACCTGCCTTATTCAAGCCAATGAGAGGGGGCCGAATTAGTACTTCCGCTTTCCGTGAGGTTTAACGAGCCACTATGCCCGTCCCTCGGATACTCTGATTGGCCAGCCTCTCTCAGCTCCTCAGTTTATTGGGCAGCGCCGCTAGACCACTATCGAGCCGGCTGCGAGGGCTGTGTCAGGAGGTTGGGCAGCCATGGCGTCCTATTTCGATGAACACGACTGTGAGCCGTCTGACCCCGAGCAGGAGACGCGAACCAACATGCTGCTGGAGCTCGCAAGGTGGGTGCGCGGGGCTTGGGGATGGGGTCCAGCCCGCAGGTTTCTGGGCTGGGGCTGGCTGGAGAAGACGGATTACCAGGGGCAGTGGATTCTGGGGAGGACAGATGAGTAATCTGGAGTTAGTCCGGGCGGCGAGACTGAGGGGTGTGGGAACGAGCATCTCGATAATTTGGGCCGTCCGTTGGGCTGGCCTGGGCAAGGGGATTGCGGGAAAGATTGGAGCTGGAGAGTGGTGGGCGTGGGAGCGGAAGTTGAGGCATGGGGGCGGAGTTGGGGCCGTGTGCTGTGAGTGGGTATATTCATCAGGAATAGTAGGTACTGCTGACTTGGAATCTGGCTCTACCAGGTTATTCAGCGTGGCCTGAGTAACTTCTCTGAGCCTGTTGCCTCTTTTGTAAAATGGGAGTAAACACTTTACGTGCTGGAGCGGTCTGATAGCAGCTGTAAACTTTCCCATCGTGCTTTTTATCTAGTGAGCATCTACTAACTACTAAGGGTAGCTATTATTCCTACTAGCTGGGCAGGGTGTTTATTAATGTCCAGTGGATTATGGGGGTCAAAGAAAAAGCATAGTTTTCCTTTGTTCTGACTTTACATTTGTACCTGACTTCCCCAGGTCACTTTTCAATAGGATGGACTTTGAAGACTTGGGGTTGGTAGTAGATTGGGACCACCACCTGCCTCCACCAGCTGCCAAGAATGTGGTTGAGAACCTCCCCAGGACAGTCATCAGAGGCTCTCAGGCTGGTGAGGACACTAATTCTTTCTGCTATTTGGGCCAGACCCACCCCTTCCCCAAGCCAGACTGTGGTCTGGGTCCTTCAGTTTTCCAGGTCAGGTGGGGGCAAGTATCCTTCAGGAGTGGGAGCTTGGGAGGCACAGCCTGTAGCAGCTCTCCTGACCAGCGCTCCTTCCTAAAGAGCTCAAGTGCCCCGTGTGTCTTTTGGAATTTGAGGAGGAGGAGACTGCCATTGAGATGCCTTGCCATCACCTTTTCCATTCCAGCTGCATTCTGCCCTGGCTAAGCAAGGTACTGCTTCTCTTCTTCCAGCTCTCACCCTGCCCTGGGCCCAGTACTCAAGCTGCTTTCTGTTCATGGACTGCTGGGGGACTGAAGAAGAGTGGCAGTTGGGAACAGGGGAGGGTGGTTATCAGCTTATGAAGATCAGACCAAGGCTAGAACACTGCTCTACTTTTCTCAGACAAATTCCTGTCCCTTATGCCGCCATGAGCTGCCCACTGATGACGACACTTATGAGGAGCACAGACGAGATAAGGTAGGGGCTGATGGTTAAGTGGAGGGGTCGTAATGGACTCCCCCTCAGTCCTGTCCCCCCGCTGCCTTCACTTCCCACCTCAGCAGGATTGGGTAGGCCTCAGAATCCCTGGCTCCGGCTGCCTTGTTAGTGACTTTGATTTGTGGTAAGAGCCTAAGCAGTGCAGATGCCAGAGAGAGTCAGCCCCATGATAGCTTCCCATCCCCTCACCCATAGGCCTTCAGTTTGGGCCCCTGCCCAGAGTGCCTTCTTTCCTTTAGGCTCGAAAACAGCAGCAGCAACACCGACTGGAGAACCTCCATGGAGCCATGTACACGTGAGGAGGCTGGGGCTGAGTGCTGGCCCTCTGCGTCTTCCTTACTAACCTTGAATCCTCATTAAAGGCTTCTTTACCCACCCTGAGGCTGTATTGATCACAGACCTGGCCGGGGCTCTGCATCCTCCATCAGGTCTCTACTCCTGTTGGGGAAGGTGATCCTAAACCACAGAAAGCACCAGGCTGCGGTTTTCCTCCCTGCTGGCCCATCTGGACTCATGGCAGTGGTAAAGAACTGGATTACTGCATCAGCCAGGGCTTGGGCCTATGTGTTCATGGTTGGAAGGCAAAATGTGCCAGGGTCTGGTACCCAATTAATTACTTAAAGCTGATAAACTAGGCTGGGTGCAGTGGCTCACGCATATAATCTCAGCAGTTTGGGAGGCCAAGGCAGGTGGATCACGAGGTCAGGAGTTCGAGACCATCCTGGCTAACATGGTGAAACCCTGTTTCTACTAAAAATACAAAAATTAGTTGGGCGTGGTGGCACACACCTGTAATCCCAGCTACCTGGGAGGCTGAGGCAGGATAATTGCTTGAACCTGGGAGGCAGAGGGTGCAGTGAGCTGAGATCATGCCATTGCACTCCAGCCTGAGCAATAAGAGCAAAACTGTCTCTCAAAAAAAAAAAAAAAAAAAAGCTGATAAACTAGCCTGCACCCTCCTCCTACTGCAATGTCTAGTTAACTTTGTAATCCCAGAGGTTTTCTTTCTCTCCACTGAGAAAGCCACGTTTAATATTTTAAAGTTGCTCTCTGTACCACCCCCACCTTCCCCCCATGCCTCCTAAGGAATCAAAGTTCAAAGCAGACTGTGAGTGGGGGATGGGTGAGATGATCAGACCAAGGCAGTTCTTTAGATTGCTTAGAGGCCCAGAAGGGTTTCAAGCCCTTTGAAGGGGTATTTGGATGGCACCTGGCATCCTTTGTTTCTGGCAACAGAGTGCACTCAGCACTCTCCTGGGGGCAAGGGCTTGCCCTCCTTGGCTTATCGAAAGCCATCCCAGATCAGGCCCCCCGACTCTCCAGAACAGACTACAAACATGCAAATTAGAATCCTTTTAATATAAAAAAAAAAGTACTAAAATACCCACGTGGTTCTGCTGTGTTATTTGCCCTAACGGAAGTGAGGGGCAGAGTGAAGAATCCCAGTGCAGCTCAGTGGGCCCAGAAATGGGCCTTTCCGTAGGCTAAGGCGTGCCCACTCCACCTCCACCAGACTTCTATCCCCTCTGCTGTTCCCAGCCCCCAATTCCTGCAGCAGGAAACCCCAGTGGTCTGGCTTTGGCACTGGGAGTAGAAGGCACCTGAAGGGCTGGCTGGGTGAGTGAGGACAGGTGACCTTTAAAAACAAAACAACACTGTGGGGTGGGGAAGCAGGTCATGCAGCTATGGCAGCTGGCAGGGCCCACTCCTCTATGGCACAGGTGGACATGGGATGGCCACTTCTCCAGAAGTGAGGAAGCCCGGATCCCAACAGAATACTTTCTCAAAATTGTTTTTGGTACAAAATAAATGCAAAGAAGATATGGGGTGGGGTGCTGCAGAGGCCGGGCCAGCCACCCTCCCCAGACCTTAGATCATAGCGATGCTCTCGGGGGCACAGTTGAGGTGGGTGGAGGTGCTGCTGCTCCCGGAGGACTTGCAGGCCCGGCCAGGGGTAGGCTGCAATGCAGCCACCAGTGTGTCTGAGGAGACTGCCCCAAACTCATAGCTGAAGGTGCCATAGAAAATGAGGATATCGATGACACACACCCACTCACACAGGGCTGCCCCATGTTGCAGCTGAGAACTCTCATGGACAAAGAAGACTCCACCTGAAATGGGGCTAAGGAAATGTTCAGTAGGACGTATGGAAACCTGGCAACACCCCTTCTGCAGTCTCAGGCCTCACCTCTCCAAAGGGAGAGGTGTTAGGCCTCTCCCCCACATGGCAGTGTTAGGCCGCCATCCCCCATCCTCTTGGGAGGGAGAAAGGTTGAGCTAGAGGATGAGTTCCCGGCTGCCCCGTCCTGAAAGGATACTGAGGACCAGGGTGATAAAGGCGATGACAGCCAGCACACTTCGCAGATAGGCCACAGCCAGGTCCAGTGGGGCGGTGGCCCCTTGGTAGGAGAGAGCACAGTGCAGGCAGACAAAGAGCAGCCCCGCAGGGAAGGCCACACCAGCTCCAACGTAGTGCAGAGACCTGGCATGATCCACCTGGGCCCAGAGAAGGGCCAGTTGGTGATGTGGCCATTGGCCCCGCCCCTCCACCCCTCCTTCAGTGAATCTCCTGTCTCCCTCTTCCTTCCTCCCCCTCCTTTCTCATTCCCTCCTTCCAGCCCCAACCTTGAGGTGCCACCCTACAGGCAGCCAGGTCTTGTTAGGTAAAGTTCAAGGTTTGCGGGGGAGAAGGGGAAGCACCTGAAAGTTGCCAACCACCAAGAGGCCCGCGGCGTTGGTGCAGCCTGAGATGAGTGCTGTGGTGTTAACCCAAGAGTGCCTACTCTGCTCCAGGAGCTGCCCGTAGCGCAGGAGGCAGATCAGGGCCACTGGGGGAGGAGAGCACAGTTGAGGCCTTCCTCCAGCCTTGGCCCTGCCCAGTGAGCCTGTCAGCTTCCTCCAGACCCTGTGGTGCTCCTGCCCCTCAGAATGGACAGGCGGGTGGTGAACTAGGTTTCCTTAGGCTCCAGCCAGCAGGATGGCTGTGTGGGAGTCAGCTTTTGGCCTTCAAGGAAGGGGAGAGATGTTGCTTCTATTGCCTCAGCCTTTGGTGGGGAGGGCTGCACAGAGGAAGGGCTTCCTGGGCCTTTCTGTGTTGGGGGCACTGGGCTGGGCAGGCAGGGTCAGGGCTAAGGGTACAACTCACCCATGAAAGCACCCATGTTGCCAATGAGGCTGAAGAGGCAGCTTTCTGGGGGATAGGAGCCGCACTTGCTGCGAGGAGGGGGAAGGACAAAGTAAGAGGGCGGCAGGAGGCCCAGGGGGCCCCCATTCTGGCTCACTGGCTCTCCCCTCGTTTACTTGCACCTGCTCCTTAGCAGGCAGGCCACTGATTTATGTGAAAAGCCAGGGTCCCTCATGAACAACTGGTTCCAGGCTGGGCCCCCAAAGCAGAGCTCGTGTGTGAGAGAGAAGGGAGTGCCCAGGAGTGTTCAGGCAACCCTGACACTCTTTGCTGAGCCCTGCAGCTGGTTTGGCTATCCTTGAGCCAGAACACGGGCTGGGCAATCGGAGGGCTCGAGCTTAAATCCAGGTGCCTCCACTTCTTAGCTGTGTAACCTGGATGAGTAAGACTGAGCCTGTTTTCTCACCTATAAAATGGTGAAAACCATAGCTGCCTCACTCCTGGGAAGATGAAAAGAGACAATGCATATAAAGCGCTCAGCAGAGTGCCTGCCCCATAGTAACTGGCAAGTAGTGTTGTTATGAAGTGGCTATTATTCCTGAGACCCAAGGACAGCTCTTTGCTTGAGGGTCTGTCTGGGAGGACCTCGGATCTCCCCCTGCCCAATATCTAGGCCTTACCTGATGAGGGGGACATTGTCCAGGGTGCAGCAGGTCTTGGGGCCCCCTTGCTCAGCAGGGTCAGGAGGGCAGGACTCGTTGTAGGACCTGGCAGGCAGGACAGGGAGTAGACTGGGGGAAGGGACTGCCCCCAGTCCCTTGGCCTATAGCCTCAGGCCTCAAAGAGGACTCTCTCCCAGACCTCCCCCACAGGGACAGAAGATCACACTCCCCAGTGCTGGCCTGAAGCAGTAACCAAAGGGGCAAAGGGATGGTGGGAAGTGCGTAGGCATGAAGTCATGCCTGGGGACCAATTTCAGAGAAGAGCAGTGAGGCTCTGGGTTGCAGTCTGGCTCGTGGCACCCTCGGGCCCAAGAGGGGACAGAGATGAAGGAAACTTTAGAGCGAGGCTGTCTGCAGAGTCCTTCATACCAGTTCTCCACGGGACATACATGGTGGTTCATCACAGCCATGGCATACCTGTGGGAACAGAACTGTCACCCTGGCCAGCCTTCCTGAGCTCCCCATCAACCCACCCCACGACCCTTCTCTTCAACCTTGATTTCTGGCCTCATTCAGCCTCATTATTGTTCCTGGGGACTCAAGTTGGGGTCCCTGAGGCTTGATGCCATACCAGCACCTGCAGCATGTCCCCCAGCTAGAGGCCCCCTGGAGACTGCCCTGGCTAGAAGTATATTTGTCAGGGCCACCCTGCTGGACAGCAGTTTTGCCAGCTTGTCCCAAGGGGCTGTGTGCCCAGGCACCAGGCCAGGCTTTTGAGACAGCCAGAGTGACCCTGGGTACCACCCTGAAGCCTACAACAGGACAAGGGACTTTGTGTGCATCATCAAGCTCCTGTTGCCCCCGCACCCCACTTTACTCACACAGTCCATATGCCAGTAATGGAGAACGCTGACAGGCTGACAGGCAGGAGGATCCAGGCGGTCATGAGGGAGGGGAGCCAGGGTGGTGGTGGTGTGGGGGGGAGGACAAGAGGTAGATGGGGAAGTGGGGGCGGACCAGCTACCTTGAGATGTTTCTGCCACAACCATCAGCTGCCCTGGCCTGGTGGAGAGAGAGCAAAGTCCAGGAGTGGGTAACTGGCCGGGAAGGGGGAGGGGAAGGGGGTCAACACCTTATCCAGGGCTCCCGTTGGGTCTCTGAGCGTCCAAAGTTTGGGCTGAGCCCAAGGCAGAACGTGGACACCCTCTGGCATTGGGGGCCTCCGCGGTCAACCCAAATGCCACCGGCGTGCTGAGAGACGCAGGCGGACCGTAACATCTGGAAGGGAGTTACCCTCCTTCTGAGGGACCAGGGCTGGTAGACGGGCTGGACAACCGAAGAGGCCACGCCAAGGAGAGGCTGGGTGCTGGCCCAGTGGAGCGGTGGCGAGTCAGCGTCGCGCAGGCAACCACCTGACCATCGGCGCCCTGGGCGAGGGGCAGGTTCACGCGAAAGCCCGGCCCGGCCCCCGCTCGCCTGGGCGCGGGGACCCCGACTGGGGCCGGAGCCTGCGGCCAGCTACTCCCCCGGACCCGGGACGCGAGACTCCCCAGGTGATTCCTGGAAGCCCGGAGGAAGGCAAGGAGCCCACTACGCACCTCCCCGGAACGCCCCGCCGCCGCCGCACCCTGCTCGGCCCCCTCGTGGCGCCGACTCTAGCTGCGGCCCTCGGAGCAGCCCTGAAAGGTTTAAAGGGCCGAGCGGCCCCGCCCCTGGCGGCCCCAGGCCTCGCCGCGCCGCCCGCCGGGACGTGGAGTCCGCGCAGCCCCGGCCTCGGCGCCCGCGCCCTGCCCAAGACTACAACTCCCGAGCCCCCGCGCCCATGTCACGGGGGAAACGTGGGCGGTGTCCCAACTTCGGAGGATCTGGGCGCGGAGGGCTGTGGCGTTAAGACCGCTCTAAAACCGAGATGCCTAGAGGTTTGGTTTAACCGGTTCCTGCGGGGGAAGCGCCAGCAGTTGGGGACCTCGGGGCAGCCTGCATTCCAGCTCTACCTGGGATTGTCGCTGTGCACATGGCTGGAGGAGCGTCTCTCCGCCGCTGCGCATATTTTGCAGCCTGCACCGGCCAACGGTGAGTCCTCTAGGAAGCTTTCTCAACTCGGCGCCCCATGCCTGCCTCTGGCCAGGGCTGCGGCGGGTCCAGAGAAGCAGACACAAAGCCTTGGCTGTTTCTTAAGAAATCCAAGCGCCTGGGATTTGGCTTATGGTTCCTGTGGCTCAGCAAACTCCGGAGGAGGGCTGCTTTCATTAGATACTTTTTGCTTTCCTGCGTGCAAGTACACAGCGTACTAGCCAGAAATCAGTGCCCAAGACGTGTTTCCCGACTGATCAACACGTATTTGAAATAAGGCGGCAGAGACCAGAGGACATCTACACATGTAGGTGTCAGTGTAGAGTAGGTAAGGATTAACATGGCCAGTGTTGGTAAGCAAAGAGGGGAAGGTGAGAGACCCGGAGGATTCTGGGAAAAGGAAACAGGATAGTGTGGGAAAAATTACTGACCAGCTTCCCCAAAAACTTACAGGATATGAGTGCATTCCTGGATGTTTCTTAAATTATTGCAAGGGTGGAAATACTTTCACATATCAGAATTGTACCTGGCATTCTGTCTCGAAGGCGGTCCCAGCATCTGTTGGAGCCCTTGTGAGATGACACTTGGGCAGATCATCACCTGAATGGTGCACGGGCTCAGGCTGCCAGGTGTGGGGAGCTGAAGTTTGGCAACACTGATGAGGCAAAAGCTATGTGCAACAACAGGACCCTGTGCTTTAGAAAGGTAGAGCAGAATAAACCGCACAATGACTTGAAGAGGGATAAACCTTCTTGGACCCAGTGGAAAGTAGAAATGAAAGCAGAAAACCTGTTGGAGAGCCCTTTTTCTTTTGAGACGGAGTTTCACTTGTTGCCCAGGCTGGAATGCAATGGCGCAATCTCGGCTCACTGCTACCTCTGCCTCCTGGGTTCAAGTGATTCCTGTGCCTCAGCCTCCAGAGTAGCTGGGATTACAGGTGCCTGCCACCACGCCTGGCTAATAGTTTTGTATTTTTAGTAGAGACGGGGTTTCACCATGTTGGCCAGGCTGGTCTCGAACTCCTGACCTCCGGTGATCTGCTCGCTTGGCCTCTCAAAGTGCTGGGATTACAGATGTGAACAACCGTGTCCAGCAGGAGAGCCCTTTCCTTAATCACATCAGGACAAGTAGTTAAAACAGGGCTAAGAAGTATGGCTGTGTAGTGATCACTGTACAAGCACACCTGGCTGAATGAACCAGTGGGGGATAAAATCCAGGCCACCTGCCCTGGCTATGCTTTGTGCCTCAGGACCAAAGTGTGCTTCCTTGCTAATTGACAGGAACCATCTTCCTGCCCAACTGCATTCCCATTGACTAGGCACCTTACCTGCCCAATGGGGCTGTGAACCCTAATTGGAAGCTTTGCAATTCTTAACACCGTATCTTCTTGAGCTGGGTTTGAGTCCCTATCCAATCAAGATGAAGTCCTGAGAGGACTATTCAAGTTCTAACATGATGTGGGGGCAAGGCATAGTACTCCAGATCCGGGACATGAGGCAGCTTTTGGCTTAATATGACAATCTAATAGTTCCTAAAATAGAATTATCCCAGGATAGAGCTCCGTATGACAGAAGGGCTCTTCATAGGTAGTTGGTAGGGGGAATTGTGTATCATGTACGAAGTAGGACCAGATGTCTTTAAAAAGGCCTTCCAACTCTAATGCTACATGAGTCTGTCTAGTTGTTATGTTCCAACAGGGACAGCTCTTAAAATAGTGTGGCAAAGCAAGAGATGAGATTTCCAATGCTGACTTGGTGGTGGAATGACTTTAGGGCAGGTATTTAACCTCCACTTCCCTGTGTACACAAGTGATTTCACAACTCTTGGCAAAAACAGTGCTGTAAAAATAGTAAGTTTATTTGTTGAAAAAAAATACTGCATTTGAAAAGTACCTTCTTTCTGGGATTTTCAAATAATTTGCACTACATTTTATTCATCTACACATTGGAAATTAGTAAACTGGTGAACATATAGCTTTTTATACATTTAACACAACCAGTGCAAATTCTCCTGGCTCTGAGAAGGCAGAGAAGCCCTTTACTCAGAAGGTCTTCAATTCTAGCATACTCCAACTCCTAGGGAAATTGCGGGTGGGTGCCTACGGCTGTATGACCATCTGATTCCTCATGGACAGGACAGGAATTCAGCAAGGGAGCTTAAAATATTTTAATTGTCAACATTCCATGGTGACTCTCCCCAAAAATCTAGTGGTAGGAAAGTAATCTGTACTTATTCCTCTTTGTGCACACAAAGGCTTCATTTAAATTTGTGAGCCTGTTGGGGATCCATTACCTAGCCATTCAGAGATCCTGTCAAATGCACAGCAGATTGGATACTCCCCATCCCAAAGGGGTTCCTCTCACCTGGATGGGGCCAATCTCTAGTTGACAGTGACCCTCAGAGTGCATCATGGAGATGGAATGTCCCTTCCAGAGAGACTTTTACACAGGGAAAAGCATTTGTTGGCTGGGCTCCAACTCTCATTTGGTACAAAAAGCTTTACATTCTTTTCCCGTCTTACATTACATTCTTCAAAGACTTCCGTGCTTGCCAGCTGGATACAACTCAAGCTCTAGTGCTTACTCTTGCACAGCCCAAAACCCTTGCAAACCCAGCTTCCTTCTATCAGTGACATCACACATTGTGGCCCAGGAACCACAAAACCTAAAATACAGGCTTAAATTCAGTGAGTGAAGAACATTCCATATTGAATGGGCATGAGATACGCCTATCAGATTGTGTGGTTTTTTTTTTTTTTTTTTAAAGACAGCCAATTACATTGTATCTAGTCAAAGGAGCGGATTCTAAAGCAGCCTGCTGGGAAGTTCCACTTAGTCTTATCGGACACTGTTCTTTGGGACATCTGTGGGAAATGTTCTGGAACTTGTTCCTTCATGGGAAACACTAATTTTTGAAAAAGTAGATATCTGGAGGCAGGTCTGGTGAATAAGCTGGATAGTACTGCCTTGGACTCCAGCTGAGGGGTGGCAGTAAGCAATGAGGATGGGCTATAAGGCTGTTAACTGGCTAAGGGCCATCCTTGGGCAGGCATTTCAGACACACCTGGAGAAAGGGCAGTAGCATCTCCGATAGGCCAGCTCTGAAGGAAGCTTAGTGCTTAATACAGTCACACTGCATAAATTAGCTTACAGTGCTCTCTTGGGTGGAAAATATTAATAGTGTATATGCACTTGATAAGCAAAATTCCTCAAGAAAAAAAGTTTAATAGCAAGGAATTTCCATCAGTCCCCTACGTGAGAGGGGTCTTTGTGAGGATTACCACAACAAACACTTAAAAGGATACAATAGGTATTTATTAAATGCTGCCTTGCCTTTTACCTCTTCCTTTTTTTTTTTTTTGAGACGGAGTCTCGCTTTGCTGCCCAGGCTGAAGCGCAGTGGTGTGATCTCGGCTCACTGCAACCTCCGCCTTCCAGGTTCAGGCGATTCTCTTGCCTCGGCCTCCCGAGTAGCTGGGATGGACTATAGGCACATGTCACCATGCCTGGCTAATTTTTTGTACTTTTAGTAGAGACGGGGTTTCTCTGTGTTAGCCAGGATGGTCTGGATCTCCTGATTTCATGATCCGCCCACCTCGGCCTCCCTACCTCTTCCTTTACTTAACAAGAATGGGGTCTAAATTTTCAGGTGCCAAATCCCCAAACTCCTCTTCTAGCCTTCTGAATTGTGTAATAAAACCAGGAAACAGGTGATCCAGCTGAGAAGACAGACCTCAAAAGTATTTCCAGACTAAAAAGCCAAAGACTTCCAGTGAAATCCTATGTTCTAAGTCATCAGATCAGTTTAAGGACTGGAAGACTAGAATGACTGACTGGTTCTCTGACCAGGAAGAACAGGGTGGAGTTTGGGAGAGCCTCCTTGACCCAGGAGACTTTGGAGGGTAGTTAACATTAGAAGTCAAAAGGCACTTCTAGCCCAGTTGCCTAAGTAGAGGAAAAAGCCTTTCTGCTTTAAAAGGAGAACTGAGCCCAGGATTGGCAAGTTTAAGGCACTTAACCTTGACCAGTTCTGTAGGTCTGGAGCATTCTGGTCCCTGGCTGCTTTCACTACCAGGCCCTTCTCACTTATCCACCTGACTTACTGCCCCAGCATTCCTTTGGCATTGCGAGCTGTGACTTGCCACATTTTAATGACATGATTGAAGTAGCTACCTTGCAGGATAGATTTTCTGGGGTATAGGGAACAAACCAACAGTGCCATCAGGTGTCTTAACACCCGGATGTGGAGAAACCCCTGGAGCAAGGGGCTATGGTTTCAGGAAATCTCAGTTCTCAAAGGCTTAAAGCCACATTTCAGGGCACTGAGGTTAGGCTGATATGCTGGAAAACAAGTGCCTTGGAACTTCCGTACTGGAGAGGGAGGATGTCTTGTGGAATTCAGACGTAAGCCTAACCCTGCATTAGAAAAAATGTTCACCGGATGAGAGCAGTGGTATTCCTGGGGATCTTTATGCTAAGGATCTGAGTTATATACTCCTGGGAGGTAGGAAAGAAGGTCTCATTTCATTCCCTCTGGCGTGTTGTCAATCAGGCAATTATTGCTAATATTGACTTTCCCTTTGTAGGTATGTTCAGAACTGTTAAGTCACAACTTGAGAGTGAGTTCCCACTTGTTTTGATAATTCCTTTTAGTCTGATCAGAGGACAGTCTGTTCACAGCTAGGAATGAAGCTGAAAGTTGGAATTCTGTAGCCCTGGCCAAGGCAGGTTTTGCTGTAAGAAATCTTTGCAGTTTAGCACCAACATCTTCCTGGGTTTGCTATCTAGACAGTGCAAAGCAGTGGAACATGCGAGAAACGAAAAAGCCATGGAAAGGGAGGGAGACATGCTTGCAAATAGGCCTCAAAAATGGAGGTCTCCCACTTTATTGGTATCAGAATTACTTGCAGAGTTTTTTAGAAGGATAGATCCCTAGACCTCCCCACCTCCAAAGTTCTGAGCAGCTGGAGGTATACAGTCATGTTGGAGCGGGAGAAGAACTGATGGATTCTACCTGAGGCAAAAAGATGAGGGAAAGGAACAAAGAAAAAGGGCTGAAAAAAGGTCTATGAGTACATGGGTGGAAATGAGCAAAAGCACAGAAGAACCATAAAATAACAAACATGGTTTATGGAGCTGAGTGGAACAGCAGCAGCCAGGCATATGACCTCGGTGAGAAAGCACCATGTTAGCACAAGGCTTCATAAATTCTGGTTCTCCCTGGAGTCTCTGCTTCTAGAACACCACATTAGCCACACAAAATTCTCAAAAAAAAAAAAAAAAAAATTCCAGAATATCAGGCTGGGTAAATGGGTCAACATACAAGAAAGAATGACTGCAAGGCAGGCCAGGTGTAGTCCTGCAACACCCTATGGATGCAGCAGCTCTGGGGGTCTCAAGATCAGACAAACTGGTCCTGGTACCCCCACACTAAATTTCCTGGGCAGAATTCTTCCGAGTGCAGTGAATCCAGCCTGGAGAGAACGCCTTCAACATGGTCAGTGTCGGCTCTGGCGCTTTGCAATCTCCTCCTGGATACGCAACTTGAGGGCTTCTCGCATGGGTGGATCCAGAGGCGTGTGTGCCGACACCTCCTCACTCACCTTTCCTGGGTCATCGCCCTACATGGAGGAAGAGTCAGGAGGCTCAGGGCCTGGCTTCTTCCAGAAAGGTGACCTGCCCTGTCCCTAAACACTCTCACAGAACTCCGTTTAGCTCAAGGCTTTTTGCCAGCACCTGTCATTTCCCAGGTGTCCCCTGTAATAGTGACTCTCCACTGGGGGCCAAGAGCCCTCCGTGTTCCCCTACTGAGAATCACTGTGAGATGGGAGTGAGTTGTGTTCAAAAGCACTGCCCGCCAGGCCTAGGCTCACACATGGAGCAGACACTTCCCACTGGGGGTCCTGAGGAAAACAGCGCTCAGGGTCTGACAGTGATTACTACCATGGCCCAGGACCTTCAGGCTGCAGCTGCTTCCACCAGGCGTACCTGATACACGATAACTGATGTGACCTCTCCACTGTCTGCCTCGTATTCTAAGCAGAAGAGCTGATGGCCAGAAGGCTCCAGCTCAGAGCCTCCACTACTGCTGCTTTCACCGGACTCCTCATAGTCTGGGTTGCGTGGGTGGGCAGAGACATCTGGAAGGATGAACCACAGTAAGAAAGAAGAGGGGGATGCTGCTGAAGGCCCTGCCCATAGAGATGCTGCAGGAAAATATACGGTTAAGAAAGCCCCAGTCTTCTTTTTTTGAGATGAAGTCTCACTCTGTCACCCAGGCTAGAGTGCAGTGGTGCGATCTCCGCCCACTGCAATCTCCGCTCCGGGGTTCAAGCGTTTCTCTTGACTCAGCCTCCCCAGTGGCTAGGGTTACAGGCAAGTGCTGCCACGTCCAGCTAATTTTTGTATTTTTAGTAGAGATGGGGTTTCACCATGTTGGCCAGGCTGGTCTCGAACTCCTGACCTCAGGTGATCCGCCCACCTTGGCCTCCCAAAGTGCTGGGATTACAGGCGTGCGCCACTGCGCCCAGCTGCCCCAATCTTCTTATGGGTCTAGTGTAAGTGGGTTTTTTTTTTTGAGATGAGTCTTGCCCTGTTGCCCAGGCTGGAGTACAGTGGCTAAATCGCGGCTCACTGCAACCTCTGCTTCCTAGGTTCAAGCGATTCTTCTTCCTCAGCCTCCTGAGTAGCTGGGATTACAGCTGCCTGCCACCATGCCTGGCCAATGTTTGTATTTTTAGTAGAGATGGGGTTTCACCATGTTGTCCAGGCTAATTTCAAACTCCTGGCCTCAAGGGATCCGCCCACCTCGGCATCCCAAACTGCTAGGATTACAGGCATGAACCACCGTGCCCGGCCCAATGTAAGTGTTTGGTGTGCTGCCAGTCAAGAACTTATTTACCTTTGCATCCCTGCCCTGAGGCCAGCACAGTAGGTACACAATGCACATTTGTCTAGCAAAAAGTACTGGAAAGCAGAAGGGTGGATAGAGCTCTGCCTGGGTTCAAATCTAGGCTTTGCCATTTACTAGCTGAGATCTTGGGCAAGTTGTTTAACCTCTCTGTGCCTATTTCCTGACTGTGAAACAGATATAAGTGTTTTTATGAGGTTGTATAAAGACTCAATGAATTGGCCGGGCGCGGTGGCTCATGCCTGTAATCCCAGCACTTTGGGAGGCCGAGACTGGCAGATCACGAGGTCAGGAGATCGAGACCATCCTGACTAACACGGTGAAACCCTGTCTCTACTAAAAATACAAAAATTAGCCGGGCGCGGTGGCGGGCGACTGTAGTCCCAGCTACACGGGAGGCTGAGGCAAGAGAATGGCGTGAACCCGGGAGGCAGAGCTTGCAGTGAGTGGAGATCGCACCACCGCACTCCAGCCTGGGCGACAGAGTGAGACTCCGTCTCAAAAAAAAACAAAAAACAACAGACTCAATGAATTAATATACGTAAGATCTGAAAGCACTTTAAATAACGCCTAACAAAGGTAGGGTGTGGTGACACACACCTATAATCCCACCACTTTGGGAGGCCGATGCAGGCAGGTCATCTGAGCTCAGGAGTTCGAGATCAGCCTGGGCAACGTGAGGGAAACCCCTTCTCTACAAAAAATACCAAAATTAACTGGGTGTGGTGGCACAGGCCTGGGGTCTCAGGTACTCGGGAGGCTAAGGCTGCAGTGAGCCGAGATCGCACCATTGCACTCCAGCCTGGGCGACAGAGACCTAGTCTCAAAAATAAAATAAAAACTTAAAAAAAGAAGTAATAATGCTTAGTAAAAATTGAGTGTCATATGCTAACCAGTGTGATCTCTAGGTAGCAGGGAAGCTGGGGAAAGGCCATTTACTGGGTTCATTCCACAATTATGTGCTGGTCGCTCATCGCTGTGCCAGACTTTCTCTTTGCTAGGTAGCGGAGCACCTTACTAAAATACAGCACGAAGGGGCAAACCGGCAGATAAACGTCTTGCTGGCTCCCGGATACTCTGTGACAGCGATGCTTAACTGGGGTCTTATGAGTCTTCCCAGTTTTTGGGGAGAATCATTCAGCAGAGATTTGGGAGCGTTGAGGTGGAGGTTCCGGGAAGAGACGAGGTGAACTGAACCTTAGGAGTAAGAAGTGGTTTTTCCCTACAGAGAAGGGGAGTGCGTTGCAGGAAGAGCGCGCGGGCTGGAGACAGGCGGGGCGGGCGGCCTCACCTCGGTGTCGCGGCAGGTACACCTGCAGGTCTGGCTTGCGGGGCCGCGTCGGCGCGGGCGTGTGCCGCCTCCTCACCTTCTCCTTGGCCGCCTGCTTCACCTTCTTGTCATAGTCGTCCCTGCGGGGAGCCGAGCGGGAGTCAGGGACTGTCGGGCCAGGCCAGGCCAGGCCAGGAGTGGCGGCGACAGCGCAGGGCGGGGCGGTACCGAGCGATCTGGTTCCGTCGGATATGGTGCACGAAGCCGTGGTTCATGTCCAGCCGCCCGCCAGGCTTGCAGCAGTGCCCCGGCTGGGGATGCGGCCCCGCCTCCATCCGGAGCCGGGGGGCGCAGAGTCGCCGCGGGGCGCAGAGTCGCCGCCGCCTCGACGGCCCCAACAACAGCCACCCGCCCACACAGGCCCGCGCCGCCCCTCGCTCAGCTTCCGGCCCCGCATCCTGACTTCCGGTCTGGGAGGCCCTGCCTGGCCAAGCGATGCGGCGCGCGGAGTTTTCGGGTCTAGTCGGGTCGGGTGGAGTAGAGTATGCTTGACTTTCACCACCCGAACCTCTAGAGGGCTTTTGGTTTTGCTTCGTTTTTGTTTTTTCGTAACACATCAATAGGAAGCAAGGACTTCAGCTTACAGCTGATAGCAGAACATTCAGCAAAATGCAAATCATCTATTAACACAACTCGATGCTTACGGCGGTGCCTTCCCATCTTTCTTTTTGGTAATAGGATACTGTGCAATCCATCACCATCTGCGTGACTTTGGCTTACCATGTAACCCTACTACGCCTCAGTTTCCTCATTAGTAAATGGGAACACCTAGAGCACCTACCGCAAATAGATTGTGAGGCCTTGAAATGCTCAGGCAGGGCACACAGCGGCGCCCAGGCCGCAGGCTCCGCGAAGGCTCTCCTGGCCTGGCTTGCCTCGTACCCTCGGCGCCAACGGCTTAACTGTCGCCGCGGGATGACCCAGGGTTTTTGAGGGACCTACGGGTGTATTATTTTCTTGTTTACTTCTTTTTCTTTTTTTTTTTTGAGAAGGAGTCTTCACTCTGTTGCTCAGGCTGGAGTGCATTGGCACGATCTCGGCCCACTGCAACCTCCGCCTCCCGGATTCAAGCGATTCTCCTGCCTCAGCCTCCGGAGTAGCACGTGCCTCCAGGCCCGGCTAATTTTTGTATTTTTAGTAGAGATGAGGTTTCACCATGTTGGCCAGGCTGGTCTCGAACTCCAGACCTCAGGTGATCCGCCTGCCTCGGCCTCCCAAAGTGTTGGAATTGCAGGCATGAGCCACTGCGCCCAGCCCTTTTTTTTTTTTCTATTTTTTTCTGACCACTGGGTTCACGTCACAGCGTGTAAAATTCTCAAGTCCTTTTACAAAAGTCAAAATCAGGAATTCATGATTAGGACAGGGACAAACGGCTGGGTGTGGTGGCTCATGCCTGTAATTCCAAAACTTTGGGATGCCGAAGTGGGAGTATCGCTGGAGCCAGAAATTTGAGACCAGCCTGGGCAATACAGTGAGACATCCTCTCTATGAGAAAAAAAATACATTTAAAAAGAAAGAAAGAAAGAGCCGGGTGCGGTGGCTCACGCCTGTAATCCCAGCACTTTCAGAGGCCCAGGTGGTCGGATCACGAGGTCAGGAGTTTGAGACTAGCCTGGCCAACATGACGAAACCCCGTCTCTACTAAAAATACAAAAAATTCGCTGGGCTTGATGGCCAGCGCCTGTAATCCCAACTACTTGGGAGGCTGAGGCAGGAGAATCGCTTAAACCTGGGAGGCGGAGGTTGCAGTGAGCTGAGATCGAGCCACTGCAGTCCAACCTCCATCTCAAACACACAGACACACACACACACACACACACAAAACAAAACAAAAAACAGGGACCAATGGTGGTCCAGCCACATGATGGAGTGTTACTGAGCAATCCAAGGGAAGCTCTGTAGCTCACCAACATAGATGGATCATAAAGTAAATATGCCCAGTGAAAGAGGCCAGGGACTCTGTATGATTCCATTTATATAAGACTCTAAGAAGTGCAAACTAATCTATAGTGACTGAGAGATCAGTTGATTTTTGTGGGGGTTCTCTGGGAGGAAGAGGTTATCTTTGGGGCTGGGTAGATTCTTTAAAAAAAATTTTTTTTTTTTTTTTGAGGCAGGATCTCTGTCGCATAGGTTGGATTGTAGTGTGCAATCACTACTCCTCTCAGGCCCAAATAATCCTCCTGCCTCAGCCTCCTGAATAGCACACCACCATGCCCAGCTAATTTTTAAATTTTTTTTGTGGAGATGTGGTCTATGTTGCCAAGGCTAGTCTTGAACTCCTGACCTCAAGTGATCCTCCTGCCTCAGGCCTCCCAAAGTGCTGGGATTATAGGTGTGAGCCACCATGCTGGGCCCAGATCTCTTCTTTTGATTGTGGTGATGGCTTCATGGGTGTATATATTACAGGAAAGGATCCGGATTCAGACCCTAACGGAGGGTTCTTGGATCTCGTGCAAGAAAGAATTCAGGGTGAATCCGCAGTGCAAAGTAAAAGCAAGTTTATTAAGAAAGTAAAGTAGCCAAGGCTGGGCGCGGTGGCTCAAGCCTGTAATCCCAGCACTTTGGGAGGCCGAGACGGGCGGATCACGAGGTCAGGAGATCGAGACCATCCTGGCTAATACGGTGAAACCCCGTCTCTACTAAAAAATACAAAAAAAAAACTAGCCGGGCGAGGTGGTGGGCGCCTGTAGTCCCAGCTACTCGGGAGGCTGAGGCAGGAGAATGGCGTAAATCCGGGAGGCGGAGCTTGCAGTGAGCTGAGATCCGGCCACTGCACTCCAGCCTGGGTGACAGAGCGAGACTCCGTCTCAAAAAAAAAAAAACAAAAAAACAGACACACACAAAATAAAGTAATGAAAGTACAGCTACTCCATAGACAGAGTAGGGCGGTCATGCTGGTCTTGAACTCCCGACCTCAGGTGATCGGCCCGCCTCGGCATGGGGAGATGTGCTCTGCTACAAGGGTTTGTGATAAAGGATTAATTTTATTAATTACTATATTTTGCAAGAAGCAATATTATCTTTAAAGCAAAATTAGGAATGCCTGTATTCTCCAGTTATTAGGATATTAGGACACTCCCAAGTCTGGATCTGTTTAGTAAACATTATCTCTCTGTTCCCTTAACCGGAGACATCTAGAGGCTAGGAATATCTAACTTCCTAGGAATGCAGCCTGTCAAGTCCCAGCCTCATTTTCCTAACCTTCAGTGGAGTTGGTCTGGTTCGAACGCCTCTGACATATACCTCAAGTCAGAATTCAGTAAATTGCTATGTTGTGTTGTGTTGTATTGTATTCTAAGATGGAGTTTCACTCTTGTTGCCCAGGCTGGAGTGCAATGGCGCAATCTCGGCTCACTGCAACCTCCACCTCCCGGGTTCAAGCGATTCTCCTGCCTCAGCCTCCTGAGTAGATGGGATAACAGGCTCGTGCCACCGCAGCTAATTTCTGTATTTTTAGTAGAGACGGGGTTTCGCCATGTTGACCAGGCTGGTCTCGAATCCTGACTCAGGTGATCCGCCCGCCTCCGCCTCCCAAAGTGCTGGAATTACAGGCGTGAGCCACAGCGCCTGGCCTAAATTCCACACTTTAAACATGTAGTTTGTTGTATGTCAATTATACCTCAATGGAACAGTTCAAACAAGCAAACAAGTTCAAGGCAGGTCCTGAGGTTAGAGCTTTATTAGCTTCATGGTAAATCCGCTCCTACCGGGCATTTGCGTTTTCATGGTACCAAGAACCCTCTAACAGTAGAATTAGGGCCGTCAAGGGGATGATTTGGGAATGTTGCCTAGTTTTCCTGCGCAGGATTGTCAGCCTCCAAGCCGCGGAGACTGTGGGAAACGACCTCGCGATGGTGGTTTCCAGGCACAAATCTGGGGCCGAATGACAGCTTCTTTTTCTTTCATTTTATTATTTCATTTTGAGACGGAGTTTCGCTCTTGTTGCATAGGCTGGAGTGCAATGGCGCGATCTTGGCTCACTGCAACCTTCGCCTCCGCCTCCCGGGTTCAAGCGATTCTCCTGCCTCAGCCTCCCAAGTAGCTGGGATTACAGGCATGCGCCACAACGTCTGGCTAATTTTGTATTTTTAGTAGAGATGTTTCTCCATGTTGGTCATGCTGGTCTTGAACTCCCGACCTCAGGTGATCCACCCGCCTCGGCCTCCCAAAGTGCTGGGATTACAGGCGTGAGCCACTGCGCCCGGCCTGACAACTTTTATCCAGAAAACTGTCGCCAGTAAAGGTTCCTGTGTCAGTAAACTGTAAACGACGGTAGGCCCACAGAAGGTTCTCAGGGGCGGGGAAACCGCTACAGGAACAGCACCGCCCACAAATTTCCTGCAGCGTGATTTGTCCCCAGTGGCGACTCGTAGAGCGTTCGGGGCTCCCTACGAGCCCCTCTCCTGATTGGCCGTGTGCCGCGCGCTCGAGCGTGCCTGGCGCCTGCGCTGGAACACTCTGCCGATAGTGGCGATGTCCGGCAGGTCTAAGCGGGAGTCTCGCGGTTCCACCCGCGGGAAGCGAGAGTCCGAGTCGCGGGGCAGCTCCGGTCGCGTCAAGCGGGAGCGAGATCGGGAGCGGGAGCCTGAGGCGGCAAGCTCCCGGGGCAGCCCTGTGCGCGTGAAGCGAGAGGTCGAGCCGGCGAGCGTGCGCGAGGCCCAGGCTTCTGTTGTCCCGTTTGTGCGGGTGAAGCGGGAGCGCGAGGTCGATGAGGACTCGGAGCCTGAGCGGGAGGTGCGAGGTGCGCGGGGCCGGGCCGGGCTAGGCGCGAGAGCCTTTTTTTTTCGCGTTCTTTTTTCTTGTCTCTCTAATCTTCCGCCAGGTCCCTGCGCCGGGTTTGGCGGGGGAGGGGTGGAGTTGGCGGGGGAGGGGTGGAGTTGGCGGGGGAGGGGGGGGGTTGGGGGGGAGAAGAGGAGGGAACCAGACTCTATGGTTCTGCTGTTCGACTTGTTCTAATGAAGACAGTATTCATCTCGACCGTATATTATTTATTTTTCTATTTTTCTTTTCTTTTTTTTTTTTTTGAGATGGAGTCTCACTGTGTCACCCAGGATGGAGTGCAGTGGCGCGATCTCGGCTCCTGCAACCTCTACCTCCCGGGTTCCAACGATTATGCTACCTCAGCCTCCCAAATAGCTGGGATTACAGGCGCCCGACACCACGCCTGGCGAATTTTTTGTATTTTTAGTAGAGAAGGGGTTTCACCGTGTTAGCCAGGATGGTCTTGATCTCCTGACCTCGTGATCCTCCCGCCTCGGCCTCCCAAAGTACTGGGATTACAGGCGTGAGCCACCGTGCCCGGCCAACCGTATGGTATTTCTAACTATAACAGTCATAACAATAGCAGTTTCCCTTCATCGAATGCCTGATGTGGGGGCTCAGTGCTGATTTTACAAGTGTTACTTCCTTCCATTTTAAAAAAGAATTTTTTTTTTTTTCGTTTTAAAATAGAGGCAAGTCTTGTTATGTTGCCTAGGCTGGTCTCGAACTCCTGGGCTCAAGTTTTCCACTGGCCTCGGCCTCCCAAAGTGCTGGGATTACAGGCGTGAGCCACTGTGCACGGCTTTCCTTCAGTTTTTACAAAACCTCTAAGGTCTTGTAATTTCTGTAATCAAGATATTCAGAATGTCTGAGCAATAGGCACCTGCACTAAAATATAAATTATGTAGCACTTTTTAAGCTGAATAAAGTCTGGAGACAATTCTCCATTAGTCTCTTGAGTTTGTGCACATACTGCGATCATTGCCTGACTGCCTTTGCTCCTAGACTCTCCTTAAGGATGTTCGTGTAGTGGGCAGCCTTGGAAGATAGAAGTGGTGTCTCCCTACAAAACAAGGAGGAGACAAGGGCACAATCCATTATAAAAGATTTGGAGCAGGGTGTGGTGGCTCACACTTGTAATCGCAGCTACTCTGTAGGATGAGGTGGAGTTCAAGACTAGGATAGGCAACAGAGTGAGACCTCGTTTAAAAAAATGGTTAATGGTTCAGATTCTCTAAGCTCAGGGTTACTCTCCTGTAAGGCAACTCACTGTGTGCATGGGTTCTCCTCACTTTGCCTTGTAGAAATTCACTTGGGAAACTGATACCAAGGCTATATTCTGGCTACTGTCATTGCTGTAATAAATTGCCCTTCATTTCAGGCCAGGTAGTGACATGCTTTCCATCAGCATTCGTAAAACTGTGACAGGCTAACTTGTTAGCTTGCAAGTAGGGTAAGATCTGAGACCCCCTTAAGTTTTTGACAAGTGGTAGATTTATAGATACACATGTACATTCTTCTTTTTTTTTTTTTGAGACAGTTTCACTCTTGTTGTCCAGGCTGGAGTGCAATGGCACGATTTCAGCTCACTGCAACTTCCGCCTCCCGGGTTCAAGCGATTCTCCTGTCTCAGCCTCCCAAGCAGCTGGGATTACAAGCGCATGCCACCACACCTGGCTAATTTTTGTATTTTTAGTAGAAACGGAGTTTCATTATATTGGTCAGGCTGGCCTCGAACTCCTGACCTCAGGTGAGCTGCCTGCATCTGCCTCCCAGAGTGCTGGGATTACAGGCATGAGCCACCCACCCCAGCCACTCTTTAAACTATGTAGTACATTTGTGACCGGGCGCGGTGGCTCACACCTGTAATCCCAGCACTTTTTGAGGCTGAGGCAGGTGGATCACGAGGTCAGGAGTTTGAGACCAGCCTGGCCAACATGTTGAAACCCCATCTCTTCTAAAAGCATGAAAATTAGCTGGATGTGGTGGCATGCACCTGTAGTCCCAGCTACTCGGGAGGCTGAGGCAGGAGAATTGCTTGAATCTGGGAGGTGGAGGTTGCCGTGAGCCGAGATCGCGCCATTGCACTCTAGCCTGGGTGACAGAGCGAGACTCTGTCTCAAAAAACAAAACAAAACAAAACAAATACACAACTATATAGTAGTACATTTGTATTACAATTAGTTTATTTTAGTGCTTGTGACATTTCATATTTTTCATGCTTTATGGGATTTCTTTATGTAAAATGCAAACAGATCTTGTGTTGATTCTATGTATACCAAATGTATTCTCCTAGTTTGTGGCTTGTTCTATTAGTGGACTTTTTTCGTTTCTTTTTTTTTGAGACAGAGTTTTGCTCATCCCCAGGCTGGAGTGCAGTGGCGTGATCTCGGCCCCCTGCAACCTCCTTCTCCCAGGTTCAAGCGATTCTCCTGCCTCAACCCCCCAAGTAGCTGGGATTACAGGTGCCCACCACCATGCCTGGCTAATTTTTGTATTTTTAGTAGAGATGGGGTTTCACCATGTTGGCCAGGCTAGTCTCAAACTCCTGACCTCAGGTGATCCGCCCATCTTGGCTTCCCAAAGTGCTGGGATTATAGGTGTGAGCCACGACGCCTGGCTAGTGGACTTGTTTTTCAATGTTGCCACCCAAACAATAGGAACTCATCTTGATTAGTTTTTCCCATTTCTGTTTCTTTTCGTACTGCTAGTTGGCACTGAGTATAGGTTTCCCATTTTCAAAGCCTGTGATGATTTTCCTTTCAGCAAAGAATGGCCGAGTGGATTCTGAGGACCGGAGGAGCCGCCACTGCCCATACCTGGACACCATTAATAGGTCAGTAGGACAGAGATGCTGAGGATAGCACAAGAACAATGGAATCTATATAGGAAGTTTTTTGCCTGTACATTGAACAACACTTTCCCAAATTTTACTTCTTTTTTTTTTTTAGCTTATTTATTTATTTATTTATTTTACTTTTAAGTTCTAGGGTACATGTGCACAGTGTGCAGGTTTGTTACATATGTATACATATGCCATGTTGGTGTGCTGCACCCGTTAACTGGTCGTTTACATTAGGTATATCTCCTAATGCTATCCCTCCCCCTTCCCCCCAAATTTAAACCTGTCTAGAGAGTTGTGCTTCTTGCCATGTTACTCTTTATTCTTTGATTGTAAGTGCTAGAACACATGTTGTTAAAGAGCTTTTAGCTTATTTTGCATTTGTATGTTGGGATAATAGGATGCATAGTATCCTAAAATAACAGTAGCACATTGAAATATTTATGGAGTGTCTAGTATGTACTGGATACTCTTTTGGGTGCCTGGGATTCAGCAGAAAAAAACACAGAAATTTGTTTGAAAGATGAGGTAGTTTACCTCATCATAGCATTCTTTTCTCTGATTCCCAGGTGGCCTGTAGAATGTTTTTCAACCTATATTGTAGGGGAATGTTCTATAATAATATAATTACTCTTGTAAGAGCTGGGTGTGGTGGTCCACACCTGTAATCTCAGCCCTTTGGCAGGCCAAGGCAGGAGGATCACTTGAGGCCAGAAATTTGAGACCAGCCTGGTCAACATAACGAGACCCACCTTTTTTTTTTTTTTTTTTTTTGGAGACGGAGTTTCACTTTTGTACCCCAGGCTGGAGGGCAATGGCATGATCTTGGCTTACTGCAACCTTTGCCTTCCAGGGTCAAGCGATTCTCCTGCCTCAGCTTCCTGAGTAGCTGGGATTACAGGTGCCTGCCACCACGCCCAGCTAATTTTTGTATTTTCTTTTAGAAGAGATGGGGTTTCTTCATGTTGGCCAGGCTGGTCTTGAACTCCTGATCTCAGGTGATCCACTCACCTTGGCCTCCCAAAGTGCTGGGTTTACAGGCGTGAGCCACCGTGCCCGGCCAACGAGACCCATCTTTTAAAAAAACTTAACAAAAAAAAGTTATGGCTGAGTTCTCTGGCTTGTGCCTGTAATCCCAGCACTTTGGGAGGCTGAGGCAGGCAGATTGCTTGAGCTCAGGAGTTTGAGCATCCTGGGCAACGTGGCAAAACTTCATCTCTACAAAAAACACAAAAAATTAGCCAGGTGTGGTGGTGCACTCTTGTAGTCCCAGCTTCTTGGGGGGCTGAAGCAGGAGGATTGCTTGAACCTAGGAGGTTGAGGCTGCAGTGAGCTGAGATTGTGCCACTGCACTTCAGCCTGGATGACAAAGTGAGACCCTATCTCAAAAAAAAAAACACCAAAAAAGTTATAAGGGCTGTTCATTATGGCAGGCATGAGCTACCTGTGGCTTCAGTGGCTCCTGCAATTGAAGAACTGAATTTTAAATTTTATTTAATTGAATTACAGTCAGCCTCAGTATCAGAATATGGAACCTGAAGATACAAAGGGCCAACTGTAAGGGGCTTGAACATTCCGAATTTTGGTATCTGAAGGTGTCCTAGAACCAGTGTCGTGTGGCTACTGAGGGACAGCTGTATTTTAAATTTAATTGTCAATAGTCACTTTGTCTATTGGCCTCTAATAAATTAGATACCATAGCTCTTTGGGATCATGATCAGTTAATTAAGAGTTACTATTTGAGACTAAATCTCTTTGTGGATTCAGTGGAGGTAAGGTTTTTGTTCCTTACTGCCCAGTACTCACTTTGCACTTGAATAAATAGGTCTATTTGTGTAGGTATTTTAAAATTCTTCAGGCTTTTCATTTGTTTCTGTGGATAAAAATACATTTTTAAAAAATTAATTGTTTTTAGGAGAGGATCCCACTCTGTATCCCAGTCTGGAGTGCAGTGGTGGATCAGAGCTCACTGTAGCCACAAACTCCTGGGCTTAAGTGATATGTGTTTCTTTTATGCAAGGATTTTTTCACCCTTTTTATGTGCTCTCCACCTCCAGAATGCTGTTGGGGTACTGTTACCTTAGTCTGACTTGTAGCTTTCCCTCTAGAGAAAGTGACTGCAATGAAAAGTCCTGAACTGGTTACAAACAGTAATGAGAGAGAGACTCCTGGGTATTGTGTGTCTGGTGGAGACACCTCAACAGTGCTTTGGAGCATGGTGGGTGGAGGTGAGGAATCATCAGTGTCCCCCATGGTGTATATATGGTTGGGAACTGTTTTCTGAAGGATGTTGTGTGGTATCATGGGTCATAGAGCCAACACTGCTTCATTTGAGTGCCTTCCTACGTGTCCATCCTATTTATTTTTTTCTGTTTTGTTTCCTTAGGAGTGTGCTGGACTTTGACTTTGAGAAACTGTGTTCTATCTCGCTCTCACACATCAATGCTTACGCCTGTCTGGTGTGTGGCAAGTACTTTCAAGGTAAATGAATGTTAGGAATTATAAACTTAAGTTTTTCAAGCTAGCTGCAGTTCTGCTCCAGAGGGAGTTTTTTTTTTTTTTTTTTAAAGAAAGTAAACTGTTCTCAGGAATCATATCTAATAATTTCTATTTGTTCCCAGGAAATTGAAATATTCTTAGAAAACCAATAAGAGGTTCTCTGACTGATCAGAACCTGGATATATCTGAAAGGGAGAAAGAGCTAGTCATATGAAAGATTGTAATCTCAAAGACTCTGGGTTCTCGAATCTCTAATATATGTATTTTTTTAAGTTTTAATTTTTAAAAATCATTTTGAGACAGAGTCCCACTTTGTTGCCCAGGTTGGCTCACTGCAACCTCCGCCTCCTGGATTCAAGCAATTTTCCTGCCTCAGCCTCTGGAGTGACTGAGATTACAGGCACCCGCCACCATGCCTGGCTAATTTTTGTACTTTTAGTAGAGATGGGGTTTCACCATGTTGGCCAGGCTGGTCTCGAACTCCTGGCCTCAGGTAATCCACCTGTCTTGGCCTCCCAAAGTGCTGGGATTACAGGCATGAGCCACTGCCCCCAGCCTAATTTTTCTTTTTTTAAGAGATGGAGTCTCACTCTGTCACCCAGGCTGCAGTGCAGTGACGCGATCTTGGCTCACTGCAGCCTCTGACTCCCAAGTTCAGGCGATTCTTCTGCCTCAGCCTCCCGAGTAGCTGGGATTACAGGCATGCACCACCACACCTGGCTAATTTTAGTATTTTTTAGTAGAGACAGGGTTTCACCATATTGGCCAGGCTGGTCTTGGACTCCTGACCTTAAGTGATCCACACTTTTTGGCCTCCCAAAGTGCTGGGATTACAGGCGTGAGCCACGGCGCACAGCCACATTTTTTTTAAAAGATGGGATTGTACTCTGTTGCCCAGGCTAGTCTTGAAACTCCTGAGCTCAAGCAGTGTGCCTGCCTGTACCTCCCAAAGTGCTGGTATTATAGATGTGAGCCATTGCACCCCGCTATCTGGCTAAATATTTTATTTTATTTTTTTTTGTGGAGACAAGGCCTTATTATGTTACCCAGGCTACAATTTTTTTTTTTTTGAAGTATCCTTTAGCTCAAAGGACTTTTTTTATACCTTTTTTTTTTTTCTGAAAATGTATCATTTCAACTCATTCACACCAAGCAGATGCCATGTACATAGTATAGTGGAGGATTCAAATGAGGTAAAAACAACTGGGCACAGTGGCTTACACGTGTAATCCTAGCATTTTGGAAGGCTGAGGAGGAGAATTGTTTAAAGCCAAGAGTTCAAGATCCACCTGGCTAACATAGCAAGACCCTGTCTCAAAAAAAGAGATAAAAACTATATTCTTTGCTCTTATTAGGAGCTTCTAAGGAGTCAAGGTTGACATGTGAAACAACGAGCGAGTTCTGTTAGACCATAAAGATTACCGCTGGACCATGGCACTGAGTAAAAATAAGTGCAGTAGGAGTTAAAATGTGCAAAAATCAATGTTAGCTGGAGTGTTGATGTTGAGTTCATGAAGGAGTGGAGGTGGGACTTGAATTGGCAGGACATAGGAGTTTGAATGGTTAGGGAAGAGAGATTCTAGAAAGGAGTAGCAATATGAGAAAAGTTACATAGATACAGCATTGTCCTGAATATGGGCATTTGGAAATTCAGGACTGAGTGATGATGGACTGTCATAGGATATGTATATATTTATGTATATGTGTATTTATGCACACACATATGCATAGATGTTTCTAGTTTCATATATATAGGAAACTATGTATGTGAATATATAGTTATATATATAGAGGTTATCTATATTTTATATATGATATGTATTTTACAAATATTTGCAAAAAATAGTGAACTTTGTTTCCCCAGTCAATGTCTTATGCCATCTAGAGAAAGAAGTAACTAATGTGCTAGTCTTTCTTGCTAATTTTTTTATGAGAGAACTTCATGTGGAGGATTCATTTTATGAATGACATAATATTTGTTTTTCACGGTTGTTAACATGTTCCGGTAGAAAATAATGAAAGGAAAAGCAAACCTGATCTGTGCCTTCTAGTATCTGCCCTTCTATTACAGCCTTTCACCCTTCCCTACAGGCCGAGGTTTGAAGTCTCACGCCTACATTCACAGTGTCCAATTTAGCCACCATGTTTTCCTCAACCTCCATACCCTCAAGTTTTACTGCCTTCCAGACAACTATGAGATCATCGATTCCTCGTTGGAGGATATCACGGTGTGTATCTAAGAGGGTTGGTTTGGGGTCCATTCTTTAATGAGCCATCCCAGGGCTCCCAGGGGACTGCCCCATCTGAGGACAGGGAAGAATCTCAGTCCTTTTGGGCATCGAGAGGCTGCTTTCCCTTTTGGGAAGAACTGGGGAAACTGAGTAAGGTCAGAATTCATAATTGCAGCCTGTAGGCTATAACTTAACTGTCATTTCTACTTGTAACATTGAGGGCTAGGACTGAAGAAATATGGGTGTATTCTGATGGGGTTTAAAGTGTTTTTGTGAAATTATTCTTCCACACTTTGAAGCAGGGATATGAATTGGTCCTGGTGTAGGACAATATTTACCAAGCTGCACACCAGCTTCTGGCTGCTTTTAACATATGATGGGACCAGAGCATCCAGCCACAGATGTCTCATCTCTGGGCTCTAGTTTGTGACCTGTACCAAGAGACACTCATTGTGCTGAGCATGGGCTTTGATTAGTGTTGGGTTTTTGATTATTATTTTCCTTTTCAGCACTTGGGGCATATTCATAGTGCCAAGTGCTCTGTTTTGTTTTTGTTTTTTAGACGGAGTCTCGCTCTGTCGCCCAGGCTGGAGTGTGGTGGCACCATCACAGCTCACTGCAGCCTCGACCTCATGGGTTCAAGTGATCCTCCTACCTGAGCCTCCCACCTCAGCCTCCCAAGTAGCTAGGACTATAGGCATTACCATCATGGCCAGATAAATTTTTAAAATTTTTTGTAGAGATGGAGTCTCACTGTGTTGCCCAGGTTGGTCATGTTCTGTTTATTTTTAAGGAAATGGTGGTATTTAGTCTTTGAAATATTGCTTTTTCTACTTGTAAAAATTTTATAAGCCTATTATTAGTAGTTGAGATTAAAATAGTTATGGACAGGCTGGGTGCGGAGGCTCACGCCTGTAATCTGAGCACTTTGGGAGGTGGAGGCAGGTGGGTCATTTGAGGTCAGGAGTTTGAGACCAGCCTGACCAACATGATGAGACCCCATTTCTACTAAAAATGCAAAATTACCCTGGCATGGTGACACGTGCCTGTAATCCCAGCTACTTGGGAGGCTGAGGTGGGAGAATTGCTTGAATCTGGGAGTGGGAGGTTGCAGTGAACCGAGATCGTGCCATGGCACTCCAGCCTGGGCAACAGGAGTGAAACTCCGTCTGAAAAAAAAAAGTATGGACAGTATTTATAGAGGGAGAAACTGGGCTCAATTCAGTGTTTCAAAGTGAGTTTGGGATGACCTCTATCCAGTCTGTGACATAATGACTCTGGTAACTCTGCCTGAGAAGAGTCTGATCCTGCTCTTCCAGTACCAGGGACTCGTGGAGATCCTCAGTCTCACCCAGAATGGAGGAAACTCTCCTGCTCCAAAGCTAGGTACATGTGCTGCTCTCGGGAGGTTCTATCTGAGACTTAGACTGCCTTTAGGAACTTAATAGTTTCCGGCAGTCAGTTTTCATGAGTTGACCAGATCTGAGGTCTATGAAAAGACCTGGGATTCAGTGATTTTGGGTTAGACACAGAGATCCCCTTGTAGATTAGCCATGGGAGAGGATCTACCCTGTGTTACTTCAATCTTTACACTTACTGATTGGGACTTTTTCTGTGTGTGGTGGGATGTTCATGGCCAAAGTGTTCTTTGTTTTTGTAGAAATTGCTGTTGTTTGTAGACATTTCTTGTGAACTCAGCTCTTAAACAACTTAGCATTTTCTTTTGCTTCGCAGTATGTGTTGAAGCCCACTTTCACAAAGCAGCAAATTGCAAACTTGGACAAGCAAGCCAAATTGTCCCGGGCATATGATGGTACCACTTACCTGCCGGGTATCGTGGGACTGAATAACATAAAGGCCAATGACTATGCCAACGCCGTTCTTCAGGTAAGATCAAGATGGGAACACTGAGGAAGAGAAGGACACCCAGAAGGCTGGGCACAGTGGCTCACCCCTGTAATCCCAGCACTTTGGGAGGCCAAGGCGGGCAGATTGCCTGAGGTCAGGAGTTCCAGCCAGCCTGGCCAACATGGCGGAACCCTGTCTCTACTAAAATTATAAAAATTAGCCAGGTATGGTTGTGCAAGCCTGTAATCCCACCTATTCGGCAGGCTGAGGTGGGAGAATCAACTTGAATCCGGCAGGCAGAGGTTATAGTGACCCGAGATCGTGCCACTGCACTCCAGCCTGGGGAACAGTGAGACTCTGTTTCAAGAAAAAATAAAAAAGAGAGGGACAGGAAATAGTATGTATACTGGCCAAGGAATTACTGCCTTTGGCCGGGCGTGGTGGCTCATACCTGTAATCACAGCACTTTGGGAGGCCAAAGTGGGAGGATCACCTGAGGTCAGGAGTTGGAGACCAGCGTGGCCAACATGGAGAAACCCCATCTCTACTAAAAATACAAAATTAGCTGGGTGTGGTGGTGCGTGCCTGTAATCCCAACTACTCGGGAGGCTGAGGCAGGAGAATCGCTTGAACCTGGGAGGTGGAGGTTGCAGTGAGCCGATATCATGCCATTGCACTCCAACGTGGGCAACAAGAGCGAAACTCCTCCATCTCAAAAAAATTACTGCCTTCTTATAGAGTATAGTCAGATGATCCTCAGACACCAAGTCTTGCTAAGGACTCTACTTGAGTAATTGTTCTGCAACAGGCAGAGCATTCTTTTGCTCACTGGGCTGCTGTCAAATGGTGAGGCTTTTTCATGCCTCTGGCTCATGGCCTTTGTAACTTCCAGGGAATGCGGGACCAAGTCTGTGTTGCTTTGCAGTGTCAAGTAAGAAACATGCCAGATGCATTTTTTTTTTTTAAATGGTGTAGATGTTTGTCATGCTGGCTGATCAATGACTTTCTCTTGCCCATATGCTCATAACCCTGAGATGGAAAAGACAGAAAACCAAAGTTGTCCTATTTTCTTTTCTTTTCTTTTTTTTTTTTGAGACGGAGTCTCAGTCTGTTGTCCAGGCTGGAGTGTAGTGGCGGGATCTCAGCTCACTGCAACCTCTGCTGCCCGGGTTTAGGCGATTCTCCTGCTTCAGCCCCCCGAGTAACTGGGATTACAGGCGCCTGCCACTGCGCCTGGCTGATTTTTGTAGTTCTAGTAGAGACAGGGTTTCACCATCTTGGCCAGGCTGGTCTTGAACTCCTGACCTCATGATCCACCTGCCTCAGCCTCCCAAAGTGCTGGGATTACAGGTGTGAGCCACCACGCCCGGCCAATTTTTAAATGTTGGTAAGTATAATAAGAAAACAATAATTCTACTTCACCAAGAACGTGATTAAAAAATTGTAATTGTAAACACAGGCTTACTGGGGAAAAAATGTATAAATTGTGAGGGGCTGGGTATGGTGGCTCATGCCTCTAATCCCAGCTCTTGGGGAGGCCAAAGTGGCAGGGTCCCTTGAGGCCAGTAGTTTGAAACCAGCCTGGCAACATAGCGAGACCCTGTCTCTGTTTAAAAAAAAAAATTAGCTGGGCACGGTGGTGCATGCATGCCTGTGGTCCTAGCTGTTTGGGAGGCTGAGGTGGGAGGATCCTGTCAGCCCAGGAATTCGAGGCTGTTGGAGAATTTTGAGGACTTTGAGAAGTACAGGCATTACTGGTGTGAGCCACTGCACCCAAACTTGCTTCACTTCTAAAGTTGATTATTTATATTTTTTTCTTGAGTTATTGCACCTTACAGACTCCTTTCCTATTGATTCATCTTACTGAGCTTTAAGAAATATATAATGAAGTTATGCCCTTTTCTGTTGGATATGTTGCAAATGTTTTCTGCTAGTACTTATTTGGCCTTTAAATTTTTCTAAGTGATATTTTTGTCATGAAGAATTGGACAAAAAACTGTAAAGGTGTAGTTTTTACATTTGGTGTCTGCTCTTGGTGTCATGCCTAGTCTGTGGAAAGGTCAAATTCTTAGGTAGAGAGAGACTTTTCATCAGATTGTTCCCTTTAAATCCTCTCATGGCTGCGTGAAAACTAATTTTTTTTGAGATGGAGTCTTGCTCTGTCTCCCAGGCTGGAATGCAGTGGCGCAATCTCAGCTCACTGCAACCTCTGCCTCCCAGGTTCAGGCGATTCTCCTGCTTCAGCCTCCCAAGTAGCTGGGACTACAGGTATGTGCCACCACGCCTGGCTAATTTTTTGCATTTTTAGTAGAGATGGGGTTTCATCATGTTAGCCAGGATGGTCTCAATCTCCTGATCTCGTGATCCGCTCCCCTCGGCCTCCCAAAGTACTGGGATTACAGGTGTAAGCCACCATGCCCCGCTGAGTGAAAACTTATAGGATGGACAGATAGAATTTGGGTTTGGTCAGAGCTGTTAGTCTTGGCTTTCTGATGAATTTTAGTTCGTGTAGGAACGTCTCTTTATAAAAATAAATGAATGAACAAACCCTGTGTGATGATGTTTCCGCTAAAATAGGGTTGACTGGACCAGGTCATCCATCTGGAGGGTGGATAATTCTTCTCTGAGGATGTCCAATATTATTTGTATTGTTGCTGAAGCCAGAGTGCAACATTTCTCCATAAGATAGACAACTGAGAATTAGGATAAACTTCATGCATCCTCTTGTTTTGAGAGTAAATCTCTCTTTGAAGTAATTATTCTACAAGTTGGAAGTCCTTGTTTCTTTAGCTGGGCTCAGCTTGTCAGGGCTTTCCTAATCCCCTCTACGGTTAAAGTGCTCTCTGTGTTCTTTTTGTTGTTGTTGTTGTTTTTTTTTGAGACGGAGTCTCGCTCTGTCTGTCGCCCAGGCTGGAGTGCAGTGGCGCGATCTCGGCTCACTGCTAGTAGCTCCGCCTCCTGGGTTCATGCCGTTCTCCTGCCTCAGCCTCCCGAGTAGCTGGGACTACAGGTGCCCGCCACCACGCCCGGCTAATTTTTTGTATTTTCAGTAGAGACGGGGTTTCACCATGTTACCCAAGATGGTCTTGATCTCCTGACCTCGTGATCTGCCTGCCTCAGCCTCCCAAAGTGCTGGGATTACAGGCATGAGCCACCGCACCCGGCCAGTGCTCTCTGTGTTTTGAGTTGTCTTCCTTAGAGATGCCTGAGTTTATTACGTTTAGCAGAAGCCCTTCTAGCTGACTCCCTGAATAGATGACCTTGTTTAAGGAAGAAATGTGTTCATGGTAAGCACAGTGCTGGTCAGGAAGGATCTGTGGGGATACTGCATTTTCATTTAGGGTCTGCTTGGTCCTCCTCTTCCCAGTTTTGTTTTGCTTTTTTGAGATGGAATTTCGCTCTTTCTGCCCTGGCTGGAGTGCAATGGAGCGATCTCAGCTTACTGCAACCTCTGCCCCCGCCGGGTGATTCTCCTGCCTCAGCCTCCCGAGAGGCTGGAATTACAGGCACTCACCACCATGGCCAGCTAATTTTGTATTTTTAGTAGAGACGGGGTTTCACCGTGTTGGCCTGGCAGGTCTCAAACTCCTGACCTCAAATGATCCACCTGCCTTGGCCTCCCAAAGTGCTAGGATTGTGGACATGAACCACCACACCCAGACCCTGCCTCCCAGTTTTGTAGCTCAGGCTAATGAGCCTGTGTTTCTTCCTGAAACCAATACGGCTAATTTTTATCTTTCTGCTTAATGAGATCCAATTTGCTTTTATTGTCCTAAACCTTTTGACCATTTTCTCTTTTTCTTTTCTTTTTTTTTTTTTTTTTTTTTTTGAGATGGAGTTTTGCTGTCGTTGTCCAGGCTGGAGTGCAGTGGTGCCATTTTGGCTCACTGCAACTTCTGCCTCCTGGGTTCAAGTGATTTTCTCTTGCCTCAGCCTCCCGAGCAGCAGGGATTACAGGCACCTGCCACCACGCCTGGCTAATTTTTGTGTTTTTGGTAGAGAGGGGGTTTCACCATGTTGGCCAGGCTGGTCTTGAACTCCTGACCTCAGGTGATCCTCCTGCCTCGGCCTCCCAAAGTGCTGGGATCACAGGCATGAGCCACCTCGCCTGGCTGACCATTTTCCATCATAACAGTATATTTACTTTTTAAAAAATATTTTGGCTGGGCACGGTGGCTCAGGCATGAGAATTGCTTGAAGCCTGGAGGCGGAGGTTGCAGTGAGCCGAAATCATGCCGCTGCACTCCAGCCTGGGGGATGGAGCAAGACTCTGTCTCCAAAAATAAAAAAAAATTTCAATAAGTTTTTGTGGAACAGGTGGTTTTTGGTTACATGAATAAGTTATTTAGTGGTGATTTCTGAGATTTTGGTCACTCATCGCCCGAGCAGTGTATACTGTACCCGATGTGTAGTCTTTTACCCCTCACCCCTCCTCACACTCTTTCCCCCAAGTCCCCAAAGGTCGTTGTATCATTCTTACTCCTTTGCGTCCTCACAGCTCCCTATATTTACTTTTATGTACAATTATATGGTTTTATTATGGGAAAACATCAAATTTTAAGATAATTTTCATATTATTTTAGTGTGGAGTTGAGAGATGGGAGAACTGTGTTTCCTAGGTAGTTATTTTTGCTTCAGCCAAAATGGATGATTAAGGAAAGGGTATTTGGATTTTACCTTTCTACTCTATGAATTTAAGTATTGTCACAGCATAATTAGAGTAACAAAAGGAATTTGTTGAATAAGTTGATAGAGATTTGAATACCTGTGGGGTTTTTTTTGTTTTGTTTTAACCTTCTTTGTGGTATCCACATCAGCAAAGTGTCTGTAGAACTGTAGGTCATATGAAACTCAATATTAATGATATTTCTGTAATGTGAGCCTGGGTAGGATTCTCCAAGGGTCGATTTACTTTGGCTCTTTAAGGCCATCACAGGCACATCACAAGATTCTGTTAGAACTTTAGTTGGAAGAGCTTGGCTCAAGGGGTCCTACAGAGGGGCTTTGGGTTAATCGGAGTGTTTGATTTTCAGGCTCTATCTAATGTTCCTCCTCTCCGGAACTACTTTCTGGAAGAAGACAATTATAAGAACATTAAGCGTCCTCCAGGGGATATCATGTTCTTGTTGGTCCAGCGTTTTGGAGAGCTGATGAGAAAGCTCTGGAACCCTCGAAATTTCAAAGCACATGTGTCTCCCCATGAGATGCTTCAGGCGGTTGTACTTTGCAGTAAGAAGACTTTTCAGATCACCAAACAAGGTAAGAACAAGTCATTTATGTTTCAGGACAACAAAACTAGTTTGATGAACAAATTTATTTCTACTTGGCAGTGAATTTTTTTTAAATTAATTAATTTTATTTTATTTTTTTGAGATGGAGTCTCACTCTGTCACCCAGACTGGAGTACAATGGCATGGTCTCGGCTCACTGCAGCCTCTGCCTCCAGGGTTCAAGTGATTCTCCCACCTCAGCCTCCCGAGTAGCTGGGACTACAGGCACGTGCCACCATGCCCGGCTTATTTTTGTATTTTTAGCAGAGACGGGGTTTCACTATGTTGGCCAGGCTGATCTCGAACTCCTGACCTCGTGATCCACCTTACTCGACCTCCCAAGTTCTGGGATTACAGGCATGAGCCACTGCGCCTGGCCTTTTTTTGTTTTGTTTTGTTTTGTTTTTTTAAGAGACAGAGTCTTGCTCTTTTGACTAGGCTGGAGTACAGTGGTGGGATTTGTAGCTCACTGCAGCCTTGAACTTCTGGACTGAAGGGATCCTCTTGCCTCAGCTTCAGGTAGCTGTGATTATAGGCGTGAGCCACTGTACCCAGCTGCAGTGAATCTTGAGAGTAGCCAGGAGTGTCCAGTGGATTGTGTGGTTAGGTTCCTCATTCTTCTCTGACCAGTCTGCCCTGCTAAGAGTCCCAGGAGATTGTAGCTGAATAGAAAGTTGGTCTTATTTGGTAAATTAAACTGTATGGCTTAGGGGAATACCAGGAGACTGGGAAAGACACTAGCTTTTATTAAACACCTGTCACCTATCCTCATTTTTTCATGTCCCGCATTAGGGTATTCTGATGATTTTTTTTTTTTTTTTTTTGAGACCGAGTCTTACTCCATTGCCCAGGCTGGAGTGCAGTGGTATGATCTGTGCTCACTGCAACCTCTGCCTCCCGGGTTCAAGGGATTCTCCTGCCTCAGCCTCCCAAGTAGTTGGGATTACAGATGCCCGCCAACGTGCCCAGCTAATTTTTGTATTTTTAGTAGAGAGGGGGTTTCACCATGTTGGCCAGGCTGGTCTTGAACTCCTGACCTCAAGTGATTCACCCACTTTGGCCTCCCAGAGTGCTGGGATTATGGGTGTGAGCCACTGCACCCAGCCTCTGATGAACTATTTTGACTGTTTTTATCTCTCCAGACCCAATGTGTTATTGCCTTATGAGTAAGGCGGACAGTGTAACTTTGTACCTGAATCTCATATCATATCGTCTAGCATCCATATTAGTTTGTTCAACGTTCACTCATGGTGCTAGGTTTTAGAGCAGCAGGGATAAAATACAAGATTTTTCTCTTTGAAGAACTCACAGTCTAGTGGGGAAATAAAGTTATGTAGAAAGATTGAGTGTGCTGGCACAAGCCTGTGGTCTGAGCTACTTGGGAGGCTGAGGCAGGTTGCTTGAGCCCAGGAGTTCAAGGCTACAGTGAGCTATAATCATACCACTGCACTCCAGCTGGGTAATGGAGGAAGACCCTGTCTTTAAAAATAAGTAAGCAGGCTGGGCGCGGTGGCTCACGCCTGTAATCCCAGCACTTTGGGAGGCCGAGGCGGGTGGATCACAAGGTCAGGAGATCGAGATCTTCCTGGCTAACATGGTGAAACCCCGTCTCTACTAAAAATAGAAAAATTAGCCGGGCATGGTGGCGGGCGCCTGTAGTCCCAGCTACTTGGGATGCTGAGGCAGGAGAATGACGTGAACCCAGGAGGCGGAGCTTGCAATGAGCCGAGATTGCGCCACTGTACTCCAGCCTGGGTGACAGAGCCAGACTCCGTCTCAAAAAAAAAAAAAAAAAGTAAGCAATTTCAACTGTCTTTTTTTTTTTTTTTTTTTGAGACACAGTCTCACTCTGTTGCCTAGGCTGGAGTGCAATGGCACGATCTTGGCTCACTGCAACCTCTGTCTCCCAGAATCAAGTGATTCTCCTGCCTTAGCCTCCTGAGTAGCTGGGACTACAGGCATGTGCCACCATGCCTGGCTAATTTTTTTGTATTTTTAGTAGAGACAGGGTTTCACGGTGTTAACCAGGCTGGTCTCAATCTCCTGACCTCGTGATCCGCCCGCCTCAGCCTCCCAAAGTGCTGGGATTACAGGCGTGAGCCACCGCGCCTGGCTCAACTATCTTTTTTTAGAAAAGGTAATTACAGGTGTTAAGTGCTGTGCTATGGGAGGGGAGCATGGAGTAAGGACCCCCTCAACTGAACATGTGGGAGGTAGATAAGAGGTCAGAGTGGAGGAAGAGACCCTGAGTTTTAGGTAGATGTGGAGGCAGGTTGGGATAGGGAGTGAACATTCCAGGTAGAGAGGACATGGTGGGCAGAAGAGAAAAGTGCCTGGCATAGACAGACTGCAAGTAGTGGGACCCTTGGACTCCAGGGGTCAATGGAGAGCCAAGGTGTAGCTCCTGAGGGAGGGACCAGATGGCCTGGTTTGTAAGCCACCATAAAGAGCTTGGATTATATCCTGACAATAGCTGGAGTCATTGAAGGCTTTTTTTTTTTTTCCCCCCCTGGAGAGGGAGTCTCACTCTGTTGCCCAGCCTGGAGTGCAGTAGTGTGATCTCGGCTCACTGCAGCTTCTGTCTCCCAGGTTCAAGCAATTCAGCTGCCTCAGCCTCTCGAGTAGCTGGGAATACAGGCACCTGCCACCATACCTGGCTAATTTTTTTGGTATTTTTAGTAGAGACGGGGTTTCACTATGTTGGTCAGGCTGGTGTTGAACTCCTTACCTCAGGTGATCCGCCTGCCTCGGCCTCCCAAAGTACCGGGATTACAGGCGTGAACCACTATGCCCGGCCTCATTGAAGGCTTTTAACAAAGATGTGACATCAGACTTAATTTGTTTTAAAAACATTATTCTAGCTGGGCATGGTCATTCACACCTGTAATCCCAGCACTTTGGGAGGTCGAGGTGGGTGGATCGCTTGAGCCCAGGAGTTCGAGACCATCCTGCGCAACATAGTGAGACCCTGTATCTATAACAAGTTTTTAAAAATTACCCAGGCATGGTGGTGTGTACCTGTAGTTCCAGCTACTTGAGAGGCTGAGGTTGGAGGATCGCGCGAGCCTAGGAGGTAGAGGCTGTAGTGAGCCATGTTAGCTCCACTGTACTCCAGTCTGGGCAACAGAGTGAGACCTCTATCTGCAAAATAAAAAGAAAAACATTCTGGCTGAGGATTGACTTAGAGGGGAAGTCGAGTAGTGGCTTTTAAGAGTTTCTTAAAAGCCTATTTCTCCTTAGTTAAGGAGAAATAGGAGGAATCAAAAGTGATAAGGAATGGGGCCCATGGAGCACTTGGTTCAGGGTTAGTAGGAAATAAGATACACTTCGGGTTGGATAATATATATTGATCAGAAGCCCTATGATTTAGTCTCAGCCGAGCAGAAGTTATAAGCTATTTGGGCTTGGCAATTGATGGTGTTTAGTAGTTTACAACATGGCCAATAAAATCTTAATCTGGGGCCAGGCACCCTGGCTCATGCCTGTAATCCCAGTACTTTGGGAGGCCGAAGTGGGAGGATTGGTTGAGCCCAAGAATTCAAGACCAGCCTGAGCAACATAGGGAGACTCCCTCTTGACAAAAAATCGAAAAGTTAGCCGGGCATGATGGCACACGCCTGTAGTCCCAGCTACTTGGGAAACTGAGGTGGAAGGATTCCTTGCGCCTGGGAGGCAGAGCTTGCAGTGAGCTGAGGTTGTGTCACTGCACTCCAGCCTGGGCGACAGAGCGAGACCCTGTGTCGGGAAAAAAAAATCTGGGTGCCTCACCCTTCTAAACAGTTGACAGCCTGTTTGTGTGCTTTGTAGGACCATCTAATTCCCAGGAACTAGGTGGCTAGGTTATCTTGTGTTTATAGGGACATTTCTGTTTCTGGACCAACTCTCTGAGCTCCCAGGGTTTTATATTAAGGCTGCAACAAAGGAAGCAATTTTTGCTGAGAATGATGTTTTTGTGGACCATGAATGGATGGATCAATGTCAGCATTCACTGTGTTCCACAGGTGACTTCTGGCCTGAAGGTGGATAGTGGGGCCTGTCAGCTTTTGGCAGTTTGGAAAGTTATGGCATAATTGGGTTGTAGAGTTGCAGAAAAATCAGTTGAGAATGAATATGTCTAGTTTCTTCTATCACAGCCACTGTTGGCTATGATAGTTACGATGTCACATAAACATGATTTCCTCCATCTCTGAGACCTAGTAGGTTATTACTTGCCTAGCGTTTAGATGTGTGAAGTGTTTCTTGCTGTGGTAGTTTGTTGTCGTGTAAAAGCATTCTATGTATGGAATAAAAAGAAAATCATCTATGGAGTTGTCAGGGGTCTCTGGGTTTAGGGAAATGAAATTGAGGAAGATATACTATAGTCTTTGACATTTTAATTGGGTGAGCAAAGAGGAACTAAATAGAAACAAATCTTAGTTGATGAGAAAGTAAACATTAGGCTGAGGTGGGAGGATCCCTTGAGGTCAAGAGTTTGAGACCAGCCTGGCTAACATGGTGAAGCCCCATCTTTACTAAAAATACAAAAATTAGCTGGGCCTGGTGGCAGGTGCCTGTAATCCCAGCTACTTGGGAGGCTGAGGTGGGAGAATCGCTTGAACCCTGGAGGGGAGGTTGTAGTGAGCTGAGATCATGCCACTGCACTCCAACCTGGGCAACAGAGCGAGATTCTGTCTCAAAAAAAAAAAAGTAGCCATTATCCCAGAAATGTCTGAGTGGCAGGCTCCGTAGACAGCATTTTCATGGAATATTGTCAATCTGCTTGTTTCCAGAACCCCTTGTTCTGTATGCCTTTTCAGTCTGTATGCTAGTCACTTTCCTACAAGATAGGAATCTTTGTGAGCTACAGAAGGGAAGAAGAAAGTGTGAGCTCACTGTGGAGAGAAGTGGATGTTAAAAGGTCATATTCATTTGTTTTGGTCATCCCTGAGTGATGCAATACAGTCCTGGTATGAATCAGATAGCCTATGGAGAGAGTCAAGATCAGAAGAGTTAGAGCTTGACCTTGAGGAGTGCCAGCATTTAATGATCAGATAGAGGAGGATGCATAGGAGTTGGGATGGGATGGCCTGGCCAGAGAGGAAGGGGGAGAATCAGGAATGCCAACCAGTGCATGGTTTAAGTTAACTCTAATGCCACTTAGCTTCAACGTTTTCTATCCTTCCTTTTTTTCCAGGAGATGGAGTCGACTTTCTGTCTTGGTTTCTGAATGCTCTGCACTCAGCTCTGGGGGGCACAAAGAAGAAAAAGAAGAGTAAGTCATTTACTGATAAAAAAAAAAAAAGGAGCTCTTTTGTTCCCTTTTAAAAAACTTTGCGTCTGGGCGCGATGGCTCATGCTTATAATCCTCTTTGAGAGGCCGAGGTGGGTGGATTACCTGAGGTCAGGAGTTTGAGACCGGCCTGGCCAACATGGTGAAACCCCATCTCTACCAAAAATACAAAAGTTAGCCAGGTGTGGTGGCTGTAGTCCCAGCGACTTGTGGGGCTGAGGCAACTTCCCATTCTTTTCTTAACTCTTTATCTGGGGTAGGGTGGTATCTGTTTTATACATAAACTAAATGTTCTTTCCGAATAGGCCCCTCTGCATAGTTTTTGCTAGAATATGGTTATAGTCACAATGATATTTTATTTTATGTATTTTTTGAGACGGAGTCTTGCTCTGTCACTTAGGCTGGAGTGCAGTGGCACAGTCTCAGTTCATGGTAGCCTCCATCTCCTAGGTTCAAGCAGTTCTCCTCCCTCAGCCTCCCAAGAGTAGCTGGGATTACAGGCACCTACCACCACGCTCAGCTAATTTTTGTATTTTTAGTAGAGATGGGATTTCACCTTGTTGGCCAGGCTGGTCTCAAACTCCTGACCTCAGGTGATCTGCCCAAAGTGCTGGGATTATAGGCGTGATGGTGTCTTGATGTGGGATTGTGGCCTGTTGCTCTTCCCCCACTGGATGGCCCTGCCCTCTCTACCAGGTGTCTTCAGCCTGTGTTAACCCTGTGAGCTCTCAAACTAACGTTTTGGCAGGATTCTAGAACTTGGTTGTGCGTTCTCTCTTGTTGCTTTCATCCTGTTCTGGCCCATCTCTTAGTCTGTCATTGTCCTCTTGTCTTCATTACAGTTTGGACATTGTCTCCCTTTGAAAGTAGCTTATGGTTATGGGAAGTTCCTTGGTTTTCCTTGTTTCGCTTGTGAATTTTTTTTGTAATTCATGTATTGCCGGGCTCTGTAAATCATTCCTTCATTTTGAATACATTTACCTTTTCTTTTATGGACCAGGCCCTGTGATGGAGGATCAAAAGTTGTCTTAAGGAAGAGAAATAAAGTAATTATTTACACAAATAATTATAAAGGTACCCTGGTGGTATATGGTACAAAAGGAAACTTCTGTGTTTAGTGAGAGCTCTGGGTCTTTTGTTGGAAGATGCTGGTTTATTTCAGAAATTTAGAAGCTGGAAATATATTTTAGACATGTTTTCCATCCTCATGGAATTTGTCTCTTGCTTCCTGTTTGTGCAGCTATTGTGACTGATGTTTTCCAGGGGTCCATGAGGATCTTCACTAAGAAGCTTCCCCATCCTGATCTGGTGAGTTAGCTGAGCCTGGGTCTTGGACTGATTTATATTGCTTGAGGGGACGTAGGGGAGATGAAGAGATGCTTAGAGAACTGACAAGCCTGCTAGCCCCATGAAGAGGTTCAACAAAGCACCTACCTAGTGGCAGCTCACTTTTCAGTTTGGGAGTTAGTGGTTGGATGTACTTTGCTGGTTGAAGTGTTCTGGCCAACTAAGTGGTGCTGCTGTGTTTTTTCAGAAAGCTCAGCTAAGCTTTCTTTTTGTTTTTCTGAGACGGTCTTCCTCTTTCGCCAAGGCTGGAGTGCAGTGGCGCCATCTCCACTCACTGCAACTTCTACTTTCTGTGTTCAAACGATTCTCTTGCCTTAGCCTCCTGAGTAGCTGCGAATACAGGCGCTTGCCACCATGCCTAGCTAATTTTGTATTTTTAGTAGTGACGGGGCTTCACCATGTTGGTCCAGGCTGGTCTGGAACTCCTGACCTCAGGTGATCTGCCTGCCTTGGCCTCCCAAACTGTTGGGATTACAGGCATGAGCCACTGCGCCTGGCCCTCAGCTAAGCTTCTTAGATGGTCTTAGAGCTTTTCTTTTTTGAGATGGAGTTTTGCTCTTGTTGCCCAGTCTAGTGCAATGTCATGATCTCTGCTCACTGCAGCCTCCACCTCCTGGGTTCAAGTAATTCTCCTGCCTCAGCCTCCCAAGTAGCTGGGATTACAGGCATGTGCCACCAAACCTGGCTACTTTTTCTATTTTTAGTAGAGACAAGGTTTTACCATGTTGGTCAGGCTGGTCTCAAACTCCTAACCTTAGGTGATCCACCCGCCTTGACCTCCCAAAGTGCTGGGATTACAGGCGTGAGCCACTGTGCCTGGCCCACTTTCTTTCTTTTTTTAATGGATTTTTTTTTTTTTTTCTTTTTGAGACAAGATCTCACTCTATCACTCAGGCTGAGTGTAGTGGTGTGATTATGGTTCACTGCAGCCTCAACCTCCCCTGCTCAAGTGATCCTTCCACCTCAACCTCCCCAGGAGCTGGGACTATAGATGCACAGCACCACACTGGGCTAATTTTTTATTTTTATTTTAGTTTTATTTATTTATTTATTTATTTATTTTATTGAGACGGAGTTTCACTCTTGTTGCCCAGGCTGGAGTGCAATGGCACGATCTTGGCTCACTGCAACCTCCGCCTCCCAAGTTCAAGTGATTCTCCTGCCTCAGCCTCCCAAGTAGCTGGGATTACAGGCATGCACCACCACGCGTAGCTGATTTTGTATTTTTAGTAGAGATGGGGTTTCTCCATGTTGGTCAGGTTGGTCTCGAACTCCCGACCTCAGGTGATCTACCTCCCTCTACCTCCCAAAGTGCTGGGATTACAGATGAGAGCCGTCGTGCCCGGCCAGTTTTTTATTTTTTGTAGAGGTGGAGTCTCCCCGTGTTGCCCAGGCTGGTCTCGAAGTCCTGGACTCAAGCAGTCCTCTCACCTTTGTCTCCCAAAGTGTTGAGATTACAGGCGTGAGCCATCACACTTGGCCTCAGAGCTTTTTAGATAGTCTGGTATATAAGCAAAATCTCTTTAAAGAAGGAAACCTGTTGGTTCTTAAGTTAATCTAACCAGGTGGTGCATGCCAACTGCCCAATCTCTCAGGCACCTCTCTTTGTTCTTTGAGATGAAGGAAATGTCAGCGTAGCAAAACACTGGTTCTGTGTTTGTTCCTATACCACTCACACTTCTTTCCTCTCTTTTCTTCTCATTCATTTCTAGCCAGCAGAAGAAAAAGAGCAGTTGCTCCATAATGACGAGTACCAGGAGACGATGGTGGAGTCCACTTTTATGTACCTGACACTTGACCTTCCTACTGCCCCCCTCTACAAGGACGAGAAGGAGCAGCTCATCATTCCGCAAGTGCCACTCTTCAACATCCTGGCCAAATTCAATGGCATCACTGAGAAGGTAGCCCATTAACACACCTGCCCTGCCTATACTTATCTTTGCGCTCTCGACTTTTTCATTTTCTTTTTTTTTTCTTTTTCAAGACAGTTTTGCTCTTGTCGCCCAAGCTGGAGTGCAGTGGCATGATTTCAGCTCACTGCAATCTCCACCTTCCAGTTTCAAGCGATTCTCCTGCCTCAGCCTCCTGAGTAACTGGGATTACAGACATCCACCACCATGCCCAGCTAATTTTTTTTATTTTTAGTAGAGATGAGATTTCAGCATGTTGGCCAGGCTAGTCTCGAACTCTTGACCTCAAATGATCCATCTGCCTCGCCTCCCAAAGTGCTGGAATTATAGGCGTGAGCCACCACGCCCGACCCATTTTCATTTTATACATAAGAATCACCACGTGTATGTGATGTATTTATTTTAAAGTATATTGACTTTATTGAGCCTCCCAGACTCCTTGGTATTTCTAGCTGGTCACCCCCAACGCTTAACTTACAGTGCCCGTCTTCTTATTATTTTCTGAGACAGGGTCTTGCTCTGTCACCCAGGCTGGGGTGCAGTGGCATGATCATGGCTCACTGCAACTTCAAACTCTTGGGCTCAAGTGATCCTTTCACCTTAGCCTCCTGAGTAGCTGGGACTTTTTAGTAGAGATGGGGTTTCTCCATGTTGGTCAGGTTGGTCTTGAACTCCCGACCTCAGATGATCTACCCGCCTCGGCCTCCCAAAGTGCTGGGATTACAGGTGAGAGCCATCGTGCCTGGCCAATTTTTTATTTTGTGAAGAAAAAAAGACACGCTTCACCACGCCCAGCTAAGTTTTTTTGTAGAGAGAGCTCTCACTCTGTTGCCCAGGCTGGTCTTTAACTCCTGGCCTCAAGGTATCTTCTCACCTTGACCTCCCAAAGTGTTGGGATTATAGATGTGAACCAGTGCCCAACCGCAGTGCCCCCTCTTGTACTTCTCATATATCCTTTTTTCAGCTTTCTGCCTGCTTCTGGGTAGTATAGAGAAAGGAAGGTCATTTAGGAGAGGAGAAACTCCAAAAAGTGCGGAGACATACTTTTTTTTTTTTGAGATGGAGTCTCACTCTGTTTCCTAGTCTGGAGTGCAGTGGTGTGATCTCAGCTTACTGCAACCTCCGCCTACCGGGTTCAAGCGATTCTTCTGCCTCAGCCTCCTGAATAGCTGGGACTACAGGTACATGCCACCATGCCCAGCTAATGTTTGTATTTTTAGTAGAGATGGGGTTTCACCATGTTGGCCAGGCTGGTCTCGATCTCCTGGCCTCATGATCCACCGGCCTTGGCCTCCCAAAGTGCTGGGATTACAGGCGTAAGCCACTGCGCCCGGCCTTTTTTTTTTTTTTCTTTTTTTTCGTTTTTAGTAGAGATTGGGTTTCACCATGTTGTCAAGGCTCGTCTGGAACTTCTGTGCTGGAGTGATCCTCCTGCCTCGGCGTCCTATAGTGATAGGATTACAGGCGTGAGCCACCAGGCCCGGCCTTTTTTTTAAGTCAGCCTTAGCCAAACTGCACATCCTAAGCCTCATACATAATTTCTGGGACCAAGAGTCTTGTGAACTTTCGGTGTGAGGCAAAATTACATTTTCAGAAACCAAAATGAAAACCTCATGCCCCTGCTCTAATACCTACTGAACTTCAGCACTAATTTGATAATTTTCTTTTTTTTCTCTAGGAATATAAGACTTACAAGGAGAACTTTCTGAAGCGCTTCCAGCTTACCAAGCTACCTCCATATCTAATCTTTTGTATCAAGAGATTCACTAAGAACAACTTCTTTGTTGAGAAGAATCCAACTATTGTCAATTTCCCTATTACGTAAGTAACACCCTGCTTCACTTCCTCTCACAGGGAGTGAACCTGGATTTCTTCTCTTATGTTTTTACCAGTATTAATTTTGGACTGTCTTAGTTGGGGATTACAATTAACAGAGCCTACCTACAGTAGATAACAGTTTTTATTGGAAGGATACACTTCAGGGACCACAAAAGATGGATGTTTACTAGGAGGCAATCCCTGTTTTATCTCCTCTCCTGTTGCTGGCCGGAAATTATAGTCCTTCTGCGTAGAGAAGAAGAAATGATGCAAGTAGGATAGGACAAGTAGAATTCTGCCTGGTTTGGAAGATGTCCTGAGTAGTGAGGTCTGCCCATCTATTTGCTGGCCATCACACCTTTTTGCACACTGGAGTTGTACTAGATGCTTTTAATTTGCTTCCTTCTAACTCAGAAAACTTCTGCAAAATCCTTTTGGGGGTAGACTGTTGGTTTTCAGTTCTCAAGAGACAAGGTTTTTCACACTTAAGAAGATGTTGGGCCGGTCATGGTGGCTCACACCTGTAATCCCAGCACGTTGGGAGGCCAAGGCAGATGGATCGCTTGAGCTCAGGAGTTCAAGACCAGCCTGGGCAACATGGCAAAACCCCGTCTCTACAAAAAAAATACAAAAAATTAGCCCGATGTGGTGGTGCACACCTGTAGTCCCAGCTACTTGAGGGGCTGAGGCAGGGGGATTGCTTGAACCTTGGAGATTGAGGCTACAGTGAGGTGAGATGGTGTCACTGCCCTGCAGCCTGGGTGATAGTGTGACTGTGCTCAAAAAAAAAAAAGAAAGAAAGAAAGAAGTAGTGTCGGTTTTAAATTCTACGTAGCGTTTAAGAAGGTAGTATCTAAAATTAAGAGGCCCGAGTTTTAGGCTGCCTTAGTGGTGGGCCCTCAGACCTGTAGTTTGCATGTTTTCTGGATATGTTCTCTCAAAGATAAAATGAGCAGCTTGGAGTAGATGGGCCTGAGCCCTAGGGGTTTGTCCAGGTGTAACATCTTATTATAGTAATGCTAGGACTCTTAGAACCATGGAGGGTGAGGAGAGAGAACATTTGCAGTTGAGAATTACAGGGGAATTTTCTCTTTTCTCTTTTCCCCCACTTTTCTCCACTAACATCTTGTTTGTGAGACAGTAGAATTAAATAGGGAGACATGGAGGTTTGTTCTCTGCCTCCTTGAGTAGGATGACAGAGCTGCTTTCTTTGAAAGTCTGTGCATCAGGGTTTTATTTCAGCACTAGCCTCTTGTGAATTACCAGTCATCTGTCTGTTCCTGGTAGGTAGGGGCAGTCTTGATTCCAAGGGCAGCTCCAGAGGGAGGAAGACTGTGTATCAATGATACTTCCTGCTCAGTTGCCACAGAAATTTCCTTGTCCCATTGTTTTCTTTTATGGGCCTAGAGTAGGTCCAGTATAAAAGTTTGTCCTTCAGAAAGCTTACTTCAGAGAAGTTAAGAGAAAACTTGGTTCTTAACTAGGCAGTCTTTTAGAGAACATCAAATTGTGACTAATTTTGGAAACTTGCACTTTTAAATATTTTATGTGCTGTAATTACTTCGAGTAATACGATTCTGGATCATTTCATCGTCCATACTTCTTGAAAAGGATCCTTTTCATACCTGTCTTCTCCTGTGATTTATTCATAACACATCCTATTTTTGTCAGAGTTATCAGACTTACAGTGATTAGGCACCCTCTGCTTATTTGGAGACAGATTTTTGAGGGCAGGTTTAAAGTTTCACTTTCAGGTAATTAGCCATTCTCTTAACTGGTCTGTTGCTGTGGCTGGGAGATGAGTATAGTTTGCTCTTTTAGGCTGGGTGCAGTGGCTCACATCTGTAATGTCACCACTTTGGGAGGCCGAGGTGGGAGGTTTGCTTGAGCTCAAGAGTTTGAGACCAGCCTGGACAATATAGCAAGATCTCGTCTCTACTAAAAAAACAAAAATGAATAGTTTGCTCCTTTTCCTGTTTACTAAAACAAAATGATTAAACGTAGTATTTCTCTTTTGCCACATGGACAGTTTTGGTTCAGTCCTGAAATCTTGAGTATAAAGACTTCTCCGGGCTGGGCAGGTGGCTCACGCCTGTAATCCCAGCACTTTGGGAGGCCGAGGTGGGTGGATCATGAAGTCAGGAGATCGAGACCATCCTGGCTAACACAGTGAAACCCCGTCTCTACTAAAAATACAAAAGGTAGCCGGGCGTGGTGGCGGGCACCTGTAGTCCCAGGTACTGGGGTGGCTGAGGCAGGAGAATGGCGAGAACCCAGGAGATGGC